ATCGCGTGTCGAAATGATTGCACCATGTCGATCCACTCCGATGATTACGTAATCTACACAGATGATGACGTAATCACTGACGCATCGTCGTCGACCACGAGTCTCAGAACTGGATTGGGCCACTTTCCATCAATCAGCTTCTTGTTCGCAAAAGCCAACTGGCACTTCACCACACTTGCGCTGGGGTATCTTGGCCAGCGCGAGTTTCACCATCGGTAGCAGGCGACAAGAGGAGCTCCATGAACCGTGTAGGTGCTTGCATGTCGACACTATGCAAGTTTCCAACTGCAGGTAGCCAACAGTTTCTGTGTAACGATTTGAAAGGATATGCAGATCTCCAACAATATTCCTAGACCGAGATAGCTGGGTTCGACGTCGGGGAATTGTTCACTCGCTTATTCCCAGACCCACACACCGACGGGAAATCCAGGGCCTCATTATAAAAGGAGTCATTTTGCCTCCATTAACAAGGATACATCGTCTTACTTAGTTGAAAACCAGGAAAGGCGGCATTCTGCTTCCTTTTATCGGGAAAGGGTTAAGTATTGATATAGTAATTGAAATATTTAATATTTTGTGCCTTTCTTCTAGTCACGTGGTGGTTGTCGTATCTACTTCTGCATATAGGATGGATATACTGACTAGCAGCAGCGGCAAGAACAAATTGGCGTTGTATGCGTAACTGGATGCAAGACATTGGCTGATGGAAACAACAAATCAGAGTCTGTCCTGCAATTTTCTGTAGCAGTTACTTGGTTCTCGATGGCTATTCCGCGTACCCAGAGGACCGTATGAAGTAATGCTATTGTACTTGATAATTAGCAGTCACGCAAGAACATGGCATTAAAGAACTTGGAACAGCGCGACCTTGGAACAACGACAATCTGGATAAAATGTGAATTAATGACGGATACATTACCGATGGATGTTCCACTACTTCGTTCCAGTGGAATTACCAAGGATCGTGCTGTTCCACTGGAATATAATTCTGGACCAAAGGGAAAAATGACCCTTTTTTCTAGCAATCGTTGCTCCAAAACCTCGAGTTATTCCGGAACCAAAGCTCTCGATTGCGTTGTACTGCAGGACATAGCATATTGCTGATTGTTGTCACTGTGTTGAGATTTTGCTATGTGCCACACTGTATATAATACGACCAAAATATGTATACTATGTGCATAGCAAAATGTAGTTATTTGTCACCGGCGAAGTTTTCTTTTTTAATCATATTCTTTTCTCTGGGAAACAAGTGCCATTCGTTGTGTTTACTCACTGTAACTCAGCCATTCGACAAAAATATAGCAGGTTCGCCCTGATGATAACACAAAAAAGATACTTTTCTTCTAAATTCTGTTACTAAATATTCAGTAGTATTGCAACTTTTGCAGTATCAAATAAAATACATTAGTAATATTTGTGTTTTTATTTCTTTAAAAAAAAATTGGCGATATTGATACCCGTAATATCCATAGCAGTAGCTACGCATGTATTAAAATACAACTGCATCATACAGTATACAGTACGTATCGTGCAAGGCGGACTGACATCTGCTCTAATAGCGCTTTCTGCGTGTAAATCGCTGTGAACACGGGCCCAAAGTTTAACAAGGAGTCCTTCATGACAATCTGCTTGATTTTGACAACGAGACGTGTGATGAAATTCATGAATCAACTTTAATTCGGATGCATAACATGTACTACTATACTTTAGTTGTTCAGGAATGAAACGAGGTTTGCAAGTATAGTACATACGTATGCATGAAGATAAATACTGAAGGGATATATTCTGACACAGTCACACGACTCTGCTGGTTCTGTTAGTAGCGCAGCGAAATTTGGTTGTGCATTAAGGAAATTTACGCGATGAAGGATATTGTCCTTCATCGGCATTAGGATAAGTTCTCGATGAAGAAATCGAGTGACTCGCTCAGTGTCGGGAGGTCGTCCACATCCATGAGCGCGAAGACCGAGTCGTCAAAATGGAAGGACGACGCCACTGAGGATGGCGAAGCTCCATCATGATCCGTTATCAGATTGAAGTTTTTGTGATCCAGCTTCACAGGCACAATTGTAGGCCGCTGAAACTCCCGAGCTGTCCTGGTTGTTATGACTGGGCCAGGTTTCACCCTACTGCTATTTCGACGCGCATGTTTGTTTCGTAGTTCAGGTGGTAGACTGATTAGAGTGGGCAGTGCCAAGACGTCGTGATCGATGCGGTGTTCACGACGGAGGCGAATGGCCTTGCCTGTCTGCATGCCGTGAAGACGGCGCGATACTTTCTCCTGATACTTCTGTGCGTGGGTTTGTACCTGACGGACCGATCGAGTGCCGATATATCCCGTGATGGCTTTCCAGGGTCCTTGAGGATACTTTTTGAGAGCCTCAAGGAAGCGGTCGTGCTCCTGGCTGGACCAAACGCCTACTGCCCGGCTCGGGTGAACATTTTTACCGGTATTGGGCATAGTTGAGAGCTTGGAGCTGGCAGTAGCCGGCGTAGCAGTCGGAGAGGACAATATCATCAGAGTCGAGTTGGACGGTGTTGTGATATCAACTGAGACGGCGGTCGAGGCTTGTGCTGTAGCAGTGGCCGCCATAAGGAAAATTGAAGAATGACTGGCCTTCTGTCGCGATTTCCGAGGCAAGATCAAAGACACTCGGACAGGCTTGGGGGCTCCGCAATGTAAGAGGAGACCAGCCAAAACGCACGGAGAGATTCTGGGCCACAAATATCCAATCGACTTAGATCAGTCATTCCGTTCCGGAATAAATGCGTCATTGTACAGCTAGAGCAATGCTTTCGCGATAGCGAGTTATGAGAGAAAATATCGAAGTCGTAGAGTCTCTGTCCTCATTTTTCTGGGCTGCAGCGCACTTTTGTTGGGTCTGTTTTCGCTGGCAGTCCAGATATCGGCATGAGTCTGGACACAGACGGCTGAAAGTCTTCTGACCAGCGTCTGGTTTCACGCGACTCATTTGCCAAGTGTGTGGCCAGCTACGGGTTTGCTTCAAGTCTCAACTTTCTCGCGGGACGAAATATTATTAGGCTGTTGCGGCAAATGTTTTTCACCTTTCTGTGGCCTCGACAATTTGAGTTAGCCATATTCAGAGAATTAAGGTCACCCGCCTACGCGAACAAAAGTATTGAGTTTGTCGACTTGTCGAGAACATTTACAAATTGAGGCTTATTTTCCAAAGCTACATGACGAGCCCGTCCTTGATTCTCGAAGTCGGACTTCTCGACAACCACACTCATCATTTCTTCATATCGCAGCTCCACCAGGTCGGATGCCAATGCCACGGATTCCTTCCTCTGTCCACTGGTCAGAGCTGGCTGAGTTGTGAACGCACGCATGCGTTTTGTGTTAGTTGAGTCACGCAGCATATCAAGTGGTGAGAATCCAGGCTCAACTTTCATGCTCTCACAGTCCAGAGGAGGCTGCCAAAGATCAAACACGAATGTTTGGCGATCCAATTTCAGTTCTTCTATATCGGTTGCTGTCCAGAAGATGTCGCGAATCAAATCTAATACACGCACGCCTTTCACTGACATTTTTTTGCGTCAAGCAATCAACACTTTATCAAGCATGATCAATCCTGTTTTCCTCCTGTTAAAAGTGTCCTGGTGGCTTGCGTACAACGGCAAAGATCGAAGCCTCTCGTCTCCACCGAAAGCCGATCCAGGTGTTACCGATGGCTACCCAATCTACCACTAAACACATACCTATCCATAGGCCGCCACTCCATCTAGTCCCCCACCTTTACCTCCGTCTTGCCAACTCTTCATTCTCTACTTGTTCCGATGGAAGAACGAGTTACGTGCGCTGTGTTCACCGCTGTGGTTGCTGCGTCCGGAGCGGAAGATACTGGAGCGATAGCTGCTCGGACTACCCGACGAAATCGCCGAACTCGACTCCATGGGCGACAGACTCAACGTCGACGCAGACATCCGACTGCTCGAGTTGCGGCTATTGGAGTTGGCGAGGATAGAAATGCGCTGGAAATCCTCCACTTCCATCGGCGCCGAGCGCTCCATTCTCGGGTGGGCAGGTGTACGCTGACTGCCCTGCTGCTCCAACTGTGACAGAGTAATCCGCATACTCGTTCCGATGAACTCCTTCGTATGCACATGCACCTGAATATCTGGTCGCTCGGCCAGCTTGGGGATCACCAACTGCATAAACCCATCCAGCATCATGGGCGTCACGTACTTGAGCTCCACACCCATCGGGAACGTGTCCGAGACGATCGGCCCGCCGTCCAAGACGTTCTTGAGCCAGCGTGTCATGTAGTCGAGTTTCTTCGGGTTGCCCTGCGCCCAGTCCGTTAGCAGCCGCTTCCACGGCACAGAGCCCAACGAGTAGTGCATCGGCGGCGGGAAGTTCCGGATCTCTTCCCAATGATCCTTAACGCGACGTGCATTGCCCTTACTGGACACTTTACTCTTGGCGTGTGCAATACGCGCCGCACTCTTCATCAACAAATGATGCGCCTCAGCCGATTTCTGGTCCATAATGCCGTTCGCCGCCGCCGTCGCAAGCAGCGACTTATCCGACGCCACGGACGTCAACGAGCTGCGACCGCCTGTAGCTGGCGGCGCGTTGTTGGCCTGCGTGATGCTGCCCACATCCGTCGGTAGATCGCGGGACTCGCAGATGTACGCGCGCAGCTTCTCGTACTCCGTCTCGATCGCAGCCAGATACGTTAGGTCCTTGCTCTCCTGGTCTCTGTGTGCCAGTTTCTGCACCTGTTCGCCCACTTCTTTACTTTGCTGCCAGTTCTTGAGCGTCCGGTTCTCAGTCTTCAGTCGTTGAATCTCCGCTTCCTGCTTCTCCAATTGCTGACGAAGCTTCTCGTTCTCTTCGTGAAGCGCAGTGATCACTTCGTTGCTCTCGTCCAAGATGCCACTAGTGCCACTGAACCGGCTGTTGAGCATCGAACCACGCGTGGAGCTACTGCTACTGGTACTGCCGGGACCGGACGCGTGCGGCACGTCGGACGGACTCAACGACCGGTTCTTGGCGGACGGAGACATCTTGGCTCCAGTATGCACCTGTTTCCTGTCCAGCTTCATCTGCAGCTGCGCCACCTTGGATCCGAGTTCCTTGTACGCTTTCTCCTTCTCCATCTTCCTTAGGAACACGAGACGCAGCAGAGAGAAGCGGAAGAACCCTTGTAGTCTTCGAACAGCAGCCAGTTTCTTGAGATAACGTTGACGCTCCGTGTGCATACGACAGTACGCCTGGAACCGCACGATGCAGTAGTCGAACTTGAGCACGCGGTACATTTTACGCGCCGCGACGCCGCGAGCTTGCGCCTGTAGCAACACTACACCTCGACGTAGCGTCAAGTAGCGTTTATGGACCACATAGCGCCGCCAATACTTCTGGATGACCACGATCTGCTGCTTCTGACGCAGATAACGGCGACGCATGAGCCAGCACCGCACGTTCTTCTGCAACACGATCGCGTACTTGCGTAGCGCCCAGCCGCGCTTGGTCTCGAGTTCTTCCAGCACTCCTTCGCGGAAATATACGCGCGTGAGTCCCACCTGGTAATCCTGGATGTTCCGACCCGGTAACAATTTGTCCATCAGCTCTTCGCACTGAGTCTTGATGTGTTCCGTGTCCGAGTCGCTGATAAACTTATTCTGCGTCGGCACAGCGCCAGTTAACAGCACGCGGAACTTCTTGAAGCACTCCAAGTGAGGCATACGACTCGGATACGCACTGCGAGACACACGGATGGCTTCAATGACGCCGGCACAACGCAGTTGACTCACAATGTCGCCGTGCGAGAAGCAGTTGGCGCTTTTCAGCGGGTTCGGCTTCAAACAACGCACATAGTGAACCTCAGTGAGGCCGATCTTCTCCATAAGTTGTGACAGACTCTCCTTGAACTGCGTGCCGACGGTAGTTCGTCGTGTCTGTGCGTGTCCTCCTTTCTTCGTGCTACTGCTGCGTGTTCTACCACGAGCAGTGGAGCCGGTATTACCGGTACTACTGGCATTCACGTCGTCCGTGAACATCTTGGACAGGATTTTGAGCTTCGACTTGCTCATACACTGCTTGATATCGGGCAAAATGGCGTCGCGGTGCTTGTCCAGGAAGCCTGACGCGTCGTACGTCACCTTTCCGGCGTAGTGGTAGATGGAGAAGGCGCACTTATTAAGTCTGGGAGTCTCCAGCAGCGGGTTATTCTCCATCACAGCGCCCAGTTTACTCGCGAACGACGCGTCTGTGCCCGTGGCGAGCAGCGATTCCTCATTCAAGAAGCTGATGACACCCAACCGGCCTTCGATGAGATTCAGCACGTCCTGGTTGTCTGCGAACGTGATGTGCGACCACGAGATGTTCTCCTCTTCGTACTCGATCTGTACCGTCTTGAGCACGTCCTGTACGAACTTCTGTTGCAACTTTTCGTTGGCGTAATTGATACAGAACTGCTCGAACGAGTTGGTCTCGAAGTGTTCGAAGCCGAAGATATCCAGAATACCGATAAATGACCCCGCCCCGGTCGTTTTCACTCCGATCGTCTGGTTAATCTGCTCCACCAGCCACAAGAAAAGCTTGGAATATAAACTCTTGGCCAGCGCATCGCGACAATCCGCCGCCTGGTCGTGCGTCATGGGCTTTAGGATCACTTCTCGACCCACAAACACGTTGCGGTTGCACACTGCGCGCTCCAGAGCGTCCACCTCAACGCCCAGAAGACGACAGGCCACAGTGAAATGCTTTAAATCCACCAGTTGCGACGCATCCACGTCTCCATTGCGAGTAGTGAATTCCGTCTCACCCAGATGCAACACAGCGCCCAGAATCTGGATAATTTCCTGTTGCAAGGGCTGCTCAATGCCCACGAGCTCCAGAGCTTCACGGGTGCGACTGAGATCGCCTTCTTCGTCGCCTCCGGGGGCTTCGGCTCGCTCGGAAACGTACTTAAACGACTCAACCATGTCGAGTTCCAGGTCGGGAAACTGTTTACGTTGCGCCAATAATTGGTAAAAGATGTGGAAATTGCGTTCCCCATCCGCTTGAGTCGTCACGCGACTCTTTTCCAACAGATACGTGCGAGACCTGGCGCCGATTAATTGGCCTTCGATTGTGAACTGAAGCTCCGTGAATTTACCGAAGCGACTGGAGTTGTCGTTGCGCACGGTCTTAGCGTTACCGAAAGATTCCAGCAGCGGGTTGGCTTGGATAATTTGCTGGATGACTTTCGAGTTCGAGTTGGTGGCAAGAGCTGCCAAGTGGCTCATGACGATCTTGGTTGTCTCCGTTTTGCCAGCTCCGGATTCACCAGAGACGAGGATGCTCTGGTTTTCCTGTTTCTGCCGCATGTTGAAAAAGGCCTCCATGGACACGGCGTACACGTGCGGCGGCTTGTTTTCCCGCTTGCCGTCGCTGAATTTCTCCATTGTTTGCTTGGAGTACAGATCCAGCCATTGGTAAGGGTTCACGGCGATGCAGATACGTCCTGTGTACGTGTCTGCAAATATTTGCCAAGTGCAACATGTATTGGCAAAAATTGTCAGCGACGCAACATGCAACAGAGTGTGCAAAACGTACATGGCAATCGACGGAAAAATCGCCTTCTCAGGTTGTAGAGGATGGAGGCCTCGTGCAGGTGATCAATGAGAATCATGTCTTCAAACCCACTGGCGCTCTCACTCGTGTTTTGTAGGGGCAGCGACGGCTTGTTGTCTCCAGACTCGACCGACGTGTTTTTCGCGTTGAGCGCCTCCAGTACCGACGAGTCTGTGAGGTCCACGGCGCGTTGTGACCCGGCGAACGCACTGAGTTCGCGCTCGGATGGGATCTGCTCAAGTACGGACGCATCCTTCGGTCCCACGACCTCATCCAGCCGCACCGTGAGCTTCTTGCCGTCACCGCTAGCACCACAGATCACACCAGGAAGCCACACGTGCTCTGTGTCTGGCGTGTATACCTGCACGATGTGGAAAACGATGGAACATTTGCCATTAGCCTAAAGCGACAGAGAGGTCCAAGATTGCTGTTGCCAAGAGCCAAAGGCAGGTAGATGCACCTTAATTCCCTCCATTGGTCTACACCTCTTCGACGCCGCGTTGGGTCCTGTGTTGTTGGCGTAGCGGGGCTGTCTCCTCTAGACTGACGCGGCTGGTGAGCTCCTCCAGGCTCCTGCTGTCGTATACGCGAGTGAACGCTCGACGCTCCTTTTTTCTCGTTGCTTGCTCCCCCTCCTCAGTCGCGGATAGGGCAAAAAATGTACTGTCCAATCAAAACGTGCTAAATTGCTAAGAAGTGGCTTCATTCGTGTGGTGAACACATTTTGTGCCTTGACGACGCCTTGACACGACATAATTTCCAGTGTTTATCGCAGCGATGAGAGGCTCCGACATGCCATAATGTCGAGATTAGCGGTGTGTGGAGGAATCCACGTGGACCATAAGTTGGCCGCAGCTGTGGCTGCATTGGCGAGACAAGCCGTGAGCCCAAGTCAGCTGGCGATAGCTACAGTCGCGCCGCGAAAAAAGGTGGCAAATAAATCAGATGCGCACAAATCGGACCAAAAAAACACGAATTAGAGTTTCCTATTTTTGGGCGGCCACAATTGAACGGCGCCATGATACGCACTAGTATCGGTGCGAAGCTTCTGGGCGCCGCTACGCGCCGATTCGCGCCATCTCGAGCAGCTACTCGGCGTTTCCATGCCTCATCGCTGACCCAACAGCAGCTCGGATGCTTTACAGCTGTCGACACGTCCTGGGAGTGGATGAAGGACCCCGAGAACCCTCGCTTGCAACGCTTCCTCAAGGTTTACCAGAGCTTTGGCAGTGTGTCACAATGGAAATTATCTAAACTTTGTTTTTTTGCGAAATTGTCTGCCACCTTGTTGCCAGCTGGAGCGAAATTATCTGGCAAACCAACTCTCCAAGCCAAAGTTTCGTAAGGTGGAGCGTGCATTCAACGTAGAACTCGGAAATCGCCTCTTGCGCGAAGACTTCAGCATCCCCGAGTGCATCGGCAAGCACGAGTACTTCATGCGGCAAGCACCAGGTGAAAACTTTCCTGTTTACTACCGTCGACTTCGAAAGGCCGAATCAGATGCAACGGCGACTTCAGCGAAAGAGGAAATTGTGCTAAACCAGAACGTGGAGCCTTCACTTACCCACGGGTTTCAGTTCGTATCGGGCATGAAAATCTCCCCTGATGCAACGCAACTGTTGCTTGTCATGGAGAACGACCACGAACAGTGTCGAGCGGTGCTGAGGGACTTAAAGTCGGGGACATTGCACGCTCTGGCAAACGTCACAGGCATCAAGAACGTCGAGTGGAGCTCAGCCCCGCCGCCGAAACGAGTTTTCTACTATACCAAGGTGGACGCACACGGACGGCCATTTGCAGTGTACAGATACAACTTGGCAACTCATGCGCAAGAACTGGTACGTGACGAAAACGATGAATTTCTTCCGAGTTGAAGTGGAAAGTTCAGATTTGACTGACAAAAAGGGGGATGGGTCTGCAACTTGGCGGAAAATTGCATTTCGATGTGGTAGATTTACGAGGAGCAGGACGAGGCTTTCTTCGTGGATGTATCGCAGACCAAGGACGCGCGGTTTGTGCTTATCAATTGCAACTCCAAGAACACATCCGAAATCTACGCGTTGGACGGCCAACACATCGACGCACAGCCTCAACTGTTGCGTAAACGCGAGGCTGGCACTTTGTATTTCGCAGACCACGCTGCAGGACAGTTTTTCATTGTCACGAATGCTGATGGCGCGCTAAACTACAAGATCGCAACGTGTCAAGGGAATTCAGATGCGAAATCGTCGATTGGCCAATGGGAAACGCTCGTTCCTGAGCATGAAGACGTGAAAATCGAGGATGTGGATCTGTTTGAGAACTACCTGGTGCTCTATGAGCGCGTGCACAGTGTTCCTCGTATTCGGGTGTGCACTCTGGGCGAACAGAATGATGACACTCCCCATTACATTCCGTTGCCCAAGGAACACGAGATTTGTCGAGTTTCTCCTGGAGTTAACCGCGATTATGATGCACACCGCGTACGCTTCCAAGTGTCCACACCTCTAGTCCCAGAGATCGTGTACGATTACGATATGAAGAACCGAAAGTTACATGTCCTCAAAGAGACAGAGCTGACTGATCGCTCGCTGGATATTAAGCGCCACACTGGCAAGACCACAAAGTCATCTTTTGATCCGGAGCAGTACATTTGCCAACGATGCTACGTGCCTAGTATGAGTAGTCTGGGTGTCAAAATCCCACTGACACTCATCCACCGTCGCGATATCACACTGAATGGGCAGAATCCAACGCTCTTGATCGGATATGGGGCGTACGGAACCAACCTTGAGGCTGATTTCGAGCTGGAACATTTGAGTTTATTGGAGCGTGGCTGGGTCATTGCACTGGCTCACGTACGTGGTGGCGGCGAGCTAGGTTTGCAATGGTATCAGGCCGGCAAGGGCATGGAGAAGCGACACACTTTCGATGACTACGTATCGTGTACGCATCACTTACTTGACGTAGGGTTTACAAGCCCCAAACGACTCGCTGGAAAGGGAGTGAGTGCTGGTGGGCTTATCATGGGGTACGTGGCCAACGAGTACCCGCAGCTGTACCAGGCTTTGATCATGAAGGTGCCGTTCGTCGATATTTTTGGTACTATGCAAGACCCGACTTTGCCGCTGACAGTTCACGAATACGACGAGTGGGGCGATCCAACTGGACCGAAAGTTCGCGAGTACATTCAATCCTATGCGCCGTGTGAAAATGTACGCGAGAATCAGGTGTATCCCGCCATGTTCGTGACTGGTAGTCTGAATGACCAGAGAGTGCAGTTCTGGGAACCTGCCAAGTGGATGTACAAGATGCGTAAAGTGCAGGCTTCGTTGCCAAAGCGCGACAAGCGTCTCATGCTGCTGAAAATGACTGAAGACGAGGGGCATTTCGGCGGCGGTGGGCGTCTGGAACAGTTGGAGGAGAGCGCCATGGAGATTGCGTTCCTATATCAAGCACTGAACTTACCGTTTCCGCAAAAATAATTGTCAGTATAAATAGAAATTTCTGTTGATGACTTGCATTTTACTAGACTCAAGGCGCAAGAACTTGAGCGCTTGGTGTAGCTGCAAAGCATGTCGGCCACGACGCAGGAGTTGGAAAATGACATTGCGCAGATGGAAGACCGACTTGCCAACGTCAAAGTAGTGGTTGAAGTGGAACGAGAGGCCTGGCGTCGAAGTTCTGGCAAGAATGGCACGAAATGGAAAGGGGCTGCAGCTCCGCGAAATAAGGAAAACGAGACGACTTCGTCGAGTGAGGACATGGACGAAGGCGTCACAATTATGCCTGGATATTGGGACTCCCTCGAGCTTGCACATTATCTGCAAGACAAGCAACTCGGAAGTTACGCACAGGTGGTAGTGAATGAACAAATTACTGGTAAAATGTTACTAGAGACCCCGGCACCCAAACTCCGCAAACTTTTCGAGACATCAGCAAACGATTCGAGTTGGAAGGATTTCCAGACTGAATTTGTTAAGCTGAAGAAGCACCAGCGGCGACTAGAGAAAGCCTGTGCTACGAATCGATCTCAACCAGGCTCTTCTCGCTCTGTGGACTCGTCACTGGAAGCGAATGATCGCCAGCCTTCCTCCTCAGTCATGAGTTCAGCGGGTGCAGCACTCGTTTTCCCATTGATTTCACCTCTAGCACCTGCAACTACCTCGAGTCAACCGCAGCAAAACATTGCAAAGCCTCCCACAGCGTCGAAACACACATTTCTACTACGAAAGCCTGCGTCTTCTAACAACATCCCACTGGCAACTTGCTGGAACTGCAAGGCGCGTTTTTTCCGTCCGCATATCAAAAGACCGATTGCTAGAGCTTCTACCTCCGATACGCCTCAGCCGGTGTCGTCGTCCATGCGAGCTTCGCTTTTGGCTCGAGCCTACTGCTCCCAAACATGTCGAGAGAGCATCGAAGCTAGTGACATCCGGATCTCGCCATCACTCAGTGCGCGAGTGAAGGTCACATTTAACACTTCAACTGAAGAAACAACCAAGCCACGTCGACCGTCTCGTGTTGTAACTGGTCGTGCGTTATCTTCTGTCGGCGATCAACCAGCACCAGAAATGCTCACTAGGAGCGACAGCATCACGGCAAGTCGACTTGGAGGCAGTACGGACGGAAGTGAAAGTACCTGTCCTCCACCGAAAACCAAACGTTTACGAAAGTTTAATACGTTCACACGGCGCACATCTCGACCGGATGCGTCACTAGATGACCTGAATAGCTTTGACTTCCTCCACGTAGCAGCTCCACGACGTGAACCTGTTGCTCAAGCATCGACGTCACCACAGCAAAAGAGTACAGAGTATCATCCACCTGTGGCTACATTTTACGAGAATCGCAATGTAGCTCGGTCTATTGACGCTAACGTGTCCGATTCCTTCGCGTTGTGCCCTTCGGTGACTTCAATAGCAATCAACGCACATCGATCGAGCGATGCTCAAAGTTGTCCGACTTCTGGGAAGCCACTACCACCTGCTCTACTGCTCAGCAACCCCGCCCTACTGGCAGCACCCAACCAGTGCAAAGTATATCAGCAGTCGAAGTATAAGTTGGACCCAGACCTTTTCCAAGCTCATCAAGAGACCTTTTCTAGTTGTTTCGGTGCGATGCCATTGAACAACCGATCACAAACCTTAACCAGTGGCTATGGTCGTGGAAACTTCCTTCGGCTTCAGGAGTTCCTCACTGTCCGTGGACTGCACCGACTGAGCTTAACATCTCATGCATGGTACGATATGATCACAACGCCGTCAGCTTTTAGCGACGCAATCTGGGGTGCTCAAGTTCTACGGATGTGGAGACCGAGAGAAGAAGATGAAGATTTCTTACATGAAATTGGCGTGCTCAAAAAGCCCGAGCGACCGCGACGAATGCTGCAGATACTTACACGTCAAGTATTTCGCATTACGGTAGAGAATATGAAGATACTTCTCAATCCTGAAAGCTGGCAGTTAGCTGCAGTTATGTCTCCATCGGATAGTGAAAACATTCGACCAGTGCACAAGGTGGTGGGAACCAAGCGAGTGTCGACAGTGACGTGTGATGAGGGTGAACTCTCGCCCCGTCGGCAGCGTACGGCCGAATTGTACGAACAGATCACAGTCATATACACCCGCGGGGGCGAGATTGTGGCAGTGAGCGCTCGACAGTTGATAAAACCAGTAGACCCCACGGCGATGCTCACGGACATTTTGCATGGTCTCAAGAGGGAAGAGCTCAGTCGCGTGCACTGTCGCCGTCTGCGGCTTTTTTCACAGACGAATCGACTGCCGTTTGATCAGTGGATGCTGCTGCCGCACTGCAGTCGCGCTGTAGTGGAGTTCTTCTGGTCAGATGGAGGAACTGAAGCCACAGTTTGTCCGCCGTTGGTGCTGCCTGCATGGCACCAAAAGACTCTGAGCAAGCTCCAGCACGGGCTACAGCAGCGTCTGCTGGGCAAGGACAGCGTAAATTGCGTCATCAAAGCCGCGCACGATGAGAATGCGTCGGCCGCTGTCCTCCTCTCGCTCGAGAAGTTCCTCACACGCTGTCATGCGTAGCCACCAGCAACAGGTCAGTCGCGGAACAAAAAATATGGCTACATTGTTGTGATTACACAGGTGGATGTTTATTTTACGATTTACAAATGGTACAGTGTACCATCCCATCGAGATTCAACAGCAATAACCGCGGCATCTTTGATGGTACACGCTTTAGTAGCTCCACCGCGCGAAACCTGAGCAGGACAGCCTGTCCTGTATTAGTCCGTGGTTGTTCTCTTGGTGGACAGCAAGACGAAGTGCGTGACAGGCTATAGTATTGCCGAACACAAGATGACGACTGCAGTACCGGTGTGCCACTCTAGTTGCTGCAAGATTCCTACCTTCGGACATGGGAACGCCACGTTTTTCCTTCGAATCCTCGACAGCGTCGTGCTCATAGTAGTGATCACCACTATTGAGCCTGTCGACAAAACTGTCGGTTAACTTAACTGACACCACCGTGGGAATGACACATTGGCGACGTGGCATCGCTGGTGCTTTCATGGGCTTTGCCAACGGCGCTACAATGCTCACGCTGAGGTGAGCGACTGCCTTGTCACCAAATTGTGTGCATCGTCCACGCACGCTGCCGCAACCTGTCTAAAAAATCCAACCCTTATAGTGCTCACTTTCAAGGCACACCCATCTGCTAACAGTAGAGCGCAAAATCAGTATCAACCTATAAGGTCAATATTTGACAAAAGGTGCATTTGCAAATCGACTTCCGAAATCGGTCAGCAAATGCGCATTTCCGTTCACAAGTCGCTTATAGGGCTTAAAGGAAGAAGTTGCTAACACACTTTGGAAATCACGCCAAACGGGAGAATTGACTAAGTATCTGCGCTAATAGGTCGCTTCGTAAGATCCCCCAGCCGAATTGCTCAGCTCACAGCTGCGTCACGATCTCCTCTTCCCCTTCCGAGCCAAATGACTCACTTAACTCGTCTTGCTCACTAATGGTGCGGCGTGAAGTCGCGTCGGCGTCCGCGTAGCTATGGCGGCGCGAGTTAGTCTCCACTCTCACCCGTCGGTTCAGCCGGTACTCTTGCTGTCTTTCCTCTTCTTCCTCTTCGCCATCAACTCCGATGGCTCTCAGGCGGTACTCGTATCGGCGGTAGTGTTCCCCGTCCTCGGAACGCAGCGGGCGAAGTCGAACGTGGACATTAGTCAGCGCCAGACACGTCTTAAAGTACAGGTCGTACCATTGCTCGTCCCAGCGGTACTTGTCCGCCATCAACGCCCAAAGTGTCTTCATCCGGCCGAAGTAGTTCTCCACGATCACTCGATCGTGTGAGATCCTGTCGTTCTGGTTAACTTCAGCAATCGTGAGAGGCTGCCGACCCCGACGCTTTTTGGGGTGGATCGCACGGAAGTCCACCTCCAAACCTTGGTACCCTTTATCCGTCAGTACAGCCCACTCATCAGGATGCGTGTCATGCAGTGGATCGTTGTCTGGGAGGTTCACCTCAGACGACTGCTTCTTGAGTGCATTCACATGGAATTCGGCGTTCTCTCGGAACAATGTAATATCAGCGACACTGCCCCGTGCGTGTGGAGTGCAGTTTAGAGCGAGGCCTGTAGGAAGCACGGACACTTCGACCTTGTAGCCGTAGAGGTGATGCTTGCCGCTGTAGTACCCGATCGATTCCCGGTGGTTTCCACGGGGCCGATTCGACTGCTGGAACGTCACGTCGGTGGCGTATCGAGCACGCTTGAAGTTGTCAAATGTGCGCCCGCTAAGCGTGAGCTTCTCTACCGACATCTTCTCTTGTGAAGTGACGAATAGCTCGTACAGGCGAGGGGTAACAACCTCTAAAAAGCCCCGTACCATCTTCTGAAAGGTGGATGAGCCCTTATCAAACATGTGAGCGACGGTATCCCACTTGCCACAGTGTTTCATCGCGCAGACCGACATGAAAAACACGTCTTTTGGAGCCTCTTCGGGTTTCTTGCCACGTCCCACGCCCCAGTTAGCAGCGACAAAGTCTTCAATTCTTTCCCAGATCCGATCGAATTCAGCTTGCGAAAAGTTCGTGTGCTTGAGCACACCTTCCGGTCCTTCAGCAGCTACACACAGGTCGTAGCGAGGCGTCGGCGAGTCAATCTCGTCATCCGAGTCCAAACCTCGGGCAGGAGGAACGACTCGAGCGATTTTAGCTTTGCGCTTTTCATCTTCACGAAAAAGTTCGGCAGAAGCAGCGCGGAACTCGGCTACAGAGAGCTGTCGCTTGGAGCGCTTCGATGACTTCTTGGCGGCGGGCATGCTGGTGCGAATTCGAGGTTGTTAATTCGGAAATGAAGCCGCGAAGACACCTTTCCGGCGAAAATGACCTTATACTGCCGCCGGCGAATAATAGGGCGGGACTGCGCCATTCGCAGCAAATGCGCAATTCGAGCGGATTCTAGAATTTCGATACTATAGGCGCTTATATACCCGGAATTCCGAAATCGGGATTTGACGGAGGCCTGTACTATCCATATGCGCAAACTGTCAAATACCGTTCCTAAGCTCTAGTGGTGATCCTCGCGCACAGCAAAACGAGACCGAAAAATTGCTCCCAGCTGGCGGCTGTGCTGCAATAGCGAAGATACTGAGGCGGGAGGCTATCCCTTAGTCATTACCACGGCCGTTTGTTGGCACCTTGTTACCTGTATAGACACAGAGTATCTGTAGACAAAAGCTTACAAGGAGAAGTCTTCGTGGCTTGACTTCTCTCGTCCAGAGGAAGGACTTGAATGCCGCGGATATCACCTCTCGTCGCCATTCATGGTGATGGCTCTATCGACCAAACGCGACAATCGCAGCCCCCGAGAAATTAACCCATAATTGTGCCGTTTTGTTGTTGTGAATCAACGTTGTTGATGGTACTGGTTTGACAACGCTATTAAGCTGTTCGTGTCCAACCTGCGCGGCGTGTGACTCTCGTCTACCGCTTGGATATTCGCCCACCTCATGTTCTTCTCGCATGGATCCCTTGATGTGGAGTTTGACACAAAAGCTCCCGCACAGTACCAGGCGACTAAACACCAGCGGAACATAATCGAGCTGCAAGTATAACCAGGCAGACGGACATCCCGTGTCATGAATCATACGTTCCCCTCTCGTTGCAGTAGAGACTGCGCATCAATCCTGCCCGCTCAGTTCGGAATTCGCTCCATATCGCTCACACGTGATCAACTCACTCTTCTCAAACCAATAATGAAGAAACCCGCCAACAGTACCCGATCTATTGAGCGAGGGCTCTGGTCAGGTGAGGAGCATGACCGCTTTCTGGATGGTCTCAAGCTTTACCCGCATGGCCCTTGGAAGAAGATCGCTACCTACGTGGGCACGCGCTCGCCACGTCAAGTTCAGACACACGCTCAAAAGTACTACGAGAAGGTCGGCCGTCGCCTGCGCGGCCTGCGCAAGGACCGCAAGAAGCTCGTGCGCCCAGAACACCGCCTGGACGAGGATATGGTGCAGCTTTGTCAGCTCGCAAAGGACAGGAAGGACCCTAACGGCCACGTGGACCCTACACTTGCCAGTCGCCTACGTGCGCCACTATCATCTCCATCCAAGATCAGCATCTCGGTGCTGGCCATGGAGTCGGCCGAGAAGCAACAAAACTCCTTTCAGGGGGAGCTACAGCAGGCGTCGAGCTTTGATCCACCCAGCCCTTGCTCTAGTGCCAGTACGGTCTCGACAGACAGTGACGCCGGCATGGACCTGTCGGACTTTGACGACTCTTGTCTGGACTTCCTGATCGAAGTGCTGAGCGACATGGACACGACCAATAGTGGAGAAAGCTTTGTCGTCAATGTATGACGCGAGCTTACTGAGCAGTGTAGTCCAGTAGTAGAGCCCCCCAGCATCCGATAGATGGAACTGACAACCACCGTAGAAACAGCGGTCATAACTTATAACGAAGAAGTGTTCATTCATTTGCATTAAAGTATTCGTGTTTTTCGGTGGAATCGGTCGCTGGAGACAAGTAATTTGCACGCTTCCTCCTTAACTTGCTGTTCGTATCGCTAAAAAAAAAAAATCCAGCGCCAATCAGTCGGTTGCAGCAGGATCGCGTGAATTGGATCACGTTGATGGAATAAACAAATGTTGGCGTCTCGTAAACAGTGCGAACAGCAAAAAGACACTGCCATTTTTTTGCGAGGCAACTTCAATCACCATCACGCTCGTTACCGCGCTCTATGCAGCCACTAATGTCATGTATTACCGTTCAATGCACACACCTTCTTCCTAGTTCATCACTAGCGTCATCACAACCACAACTATCCCCACCAAGGACCGCGTCGTCGTTGCCGCTCCACTGACTGTGCTGCCGCCTCCGGCCGTTCCGTCCGCACCGATACGTGACTGACTGCTACTGGTATCGCCGGCGTCGTACGCAGCCTGGTCCTCAGCCGAAATGGCCGGGAAGTTGGTGAGATTCACGTCCAGCCGCGCCGTCGCGTCGTTGGCCTCCGTCTGCAGCACCGCCAGTAGCGCCGAGTTCTCCACTGCCAAGTGAGGGGCACCCGTAGCATAGCCGTCCGGACAACTGGAGCCCTGCGTCACCACCTGCCACGTCGTGCGGTTGCTGCTGCTCACACAGGCCACGTGACTGATACTGGATGAGTCCGCCACGCCGTACCACCGGCCGTCGGCAGCCGAGAGCTGCACAGCTGTAGCTGTGTTCACGTCGGGCTCATTCTCCGCCCAAGACCAGACCATGGCCGTCATTATCGCACCGTCCAGTCCGTCGGGTGCTAGGATATTCACTCCAGCATCCACGAAGACCGGGAGGGTCGACGCATTCACGTGACCAGGCGCGCTGGCCGTGTCCACTTCAGCACTACCGCCACTCAACGAATCTTCCGTGAGGGTGGCATAGTGCAGCACACTCTTGAAGGCACGAACCAGCTTGCCGACGTTCATCGTCTCGCCGAAAAACGTACCGGACGCGCCCGTCGTGCTGCTCGGCACGTCCGCCCAACCAGCACACAACTCACGCATGTAGAACATTTGGTCGTTCGCTTCAGGTGTCGTCACCAGGATGACTTGTTTGCCTTGAGCGATAAGCTCTTCTAACGTGAAGCCGTTCCAGTCACCGCCGGCATCGTCAAAGTTTGACGGCGAGAAGAGCAGGTCGCCGAACGTGGTCGTGTAGAGCTCAAGCAGCGTCTCTGTCTGTGAGTACGTGCCCACCTCGTCGCCAATCTCAGTGTAGATCACTACCAGCTCGTCCGGGTGGCTTGACAACCACGTGGAGATCTCGCCTAATGACTCATTGTGTAGACGCTGTTCGTCTGCGCGGATTCCGCTGAGGGACGGCAGACAGCCAACAAGCTCTGATCCCCACTGTACCGTGTTGTCTTCGCTACTAGCGTCCAGTACAGACTCCAGCGAAGACACCAACGCAGACGCTGCGTCGTTGACGAACGCGATCCCTGAGTCGGAGCAATGAGCGCTACGCAGTGACGACGCAAAGTAGTGCACGTCCAGCTCCAGGAAGCGTATGCCCAGGTCCAGTTGGTCGGTTAAACTGAGGAACTGGTTGCTGGTTCGCATATACGACTCAGATTTCGAGGCATTAAGCTTTGAATTGAAGAGCTGGTCACGGTTGCCGTAGCCGTGAGCCTGTGTGATGACACTGTTGTGTGTTGCTGGGATCTCGGCGTAGCACAGAGTCTGTGCGTACGATAGATTGCGCTGGTACGTGATGGCTCGTGCCACCCACGGCTCGATGAGAGCAGTTCCAGCCTCACAAACTTCACTACACACGTCGTCGCTATCGCAGAAGTTCACTAGTGTGCACGTGACGTTCTCCGGGGACCGAGTTTTGCTGTCTACGGCAGTAATACTTGATGAGGACCCAGCACCAGAGCTTGAGGTAATAGAGAAGGACGGAGCAGTGCAAGTGGACTCGAAGCTGCAGCCTGAAATTGTAGAATACAGCGCTGCAAACTGCGACGCAGCATTCTGTCGCCCCGTGATAAGGGTGAACAACTCGGCCATTGAATTGCCAAACAAGTGCGTTGCAACAGCATCGACACTCTGTAAGAACGTTGCTAGTCCCGAAGCGCAGCATGACGCAGCGTAGTAGGAAATATCCCCGCTTCCCAGTCCACTAGCCAGATCGCTCGTCTCTAGCGACGAGCACACGTCGCTCTCGGACGCTGCGTACAGCGGCACTCCTGCCTTGAATATGATAGCTCCAAGCAGCGAAGACTCGTCGCTAGTCACGACTCCAGACAAGTAGGAGCTTAGTGGCACAGAGCAGAGCTGGTCGTCTGCACTTGTGGTAGTGCACATAGTTTGATGCAGCCCGTTAATGAGACTTGAGAGTGTCTGATCCAGTGTCTGACCCGTCGGGACGATGAGCTTCGCTACTTCGAGGTATCCGTTGAGCTCATTGCAACACGTTGCATCGCTATCGAGCAGCGAGATCAGCTCTGGTAGTAGCGTATCAATGCACGGCCCCGCCTGGCTGTTCATGACGTTGCAGAATCCCTGCAACGTGCTGCTGTCGTCGCTCCAAGCGGACAAAGAGCTCGCCAGGTCCACTGATCCAGACCCAGAGCTGCTGGAGCTCACAACGCCAGCAAACAGCAGGTTTAACACCTCGTTGAATGCAACCGAGTCGGCTGAATTCCCGTTTACTAGCGAGTTCAGCGTCGTGAGGTTACACTGCGACCCGGACGCCGCGATGGACGGGTACAGCTGCGCGATATTGGTGGCAATGCAGCCCCGAAGCCCCGCGACTGACGGTAGTGCTGACAGGTACGTGGACAACACGCTGCTGCTGGCGCTGGCGTTGCAGGCCGCTTCGTCGTCCGCCATGACTGACTGCTCTTTCAGTAGTCGCTGGTAGATTTGCTGGTCATCGGCGCTCAGTTGCCGATGTTGCGCTTTGAGCCCCCACGTTGGTGTGGCCACTGCGAGGACCGTTAGAAACAGCAGAGCGAGCCATGCACGATGCAGAGCCATGGTCAAGTGTGTATCTCTAGCACTGCGCCGTTTTGGAAGTGATGAAGGAGACGGAGAGTTCAGATGGTTTGTACCTTGACTTTCGATTAAAGCCGCGGTTACCCGTTACACTCATCGGTTCATCAGTTATGGAGGTCAAAGGGCCTTCGGTTAAGTCCATTTTGCCAGCCGACCGTTGGACTGGCGGTAGGGTGACAGGCACGAAAGCTTGGGATCGGCACACGTAGAGAAAACAAGCAAAGCAACGTGATCATTCTTGCAATGCCTCCGAGATGCACAATGGTTGCGTGGCGGACGTGATAACCACGTTTCGAGCCATGACGAGAAATATTGTCAGCGTACAGCGCTGCAGCAACGTAGGTCTCTACCAAACAAGCGCTTTAAAGTGATGATAAAACGCTTTTATAAATGTATCGCCCGTTGGACACACTTGCGATTGTGAAGTTTCTTTTTTTCCATCCCCGTTGAAGACCCGTTTTTTAATCGCCCTACTTCACGCTTCCGTGATGATGCACTTCCCCATAAACAAATCTTGCGCCGCCTGCACTCACGAATGAATTCCTCGTTGCACAGGTAACACGTTAGCTATTTTAGCGTTCGAAGTGTCGCTGGGGTGAATCGTGGCCACTTCCAGCGGTTTATTTTGGAGTAATACTCTTCTGCCAGGCACTTGCGATGCCATCCAGGCGAAATCTAACTACTTCGAAGTAAATGTAGAATCTTATCTCTTCCTCTATCCGCGATAATTTTGCTACCTAGACTGCCACCGGCAAGGCAGGGACGTTCACGTCCAGCTGCGTCACTTGACCAGTTGAAATGCTGCTCAAGTCCACGTCCAGTTGGGCTGTCGCGGCGCCTGCCTCGAGACGAAGCACAGTCAGCAACGCCACATTTTCCACTGCAAGACGTGGTGCACCAGTTGCAAATCCGTCGGGGCAGTTCGAACCCTTGGCTACAACCTTCCACGTCGATCGGTTGCTGCTGCTCACACAAGCCACGTGAGAGATGCTCAACGAATCCGCAACACCATGCCAACGCCCATCCGCACCCGAGAGCATCACGGCAGTGCTCGTGCTAACGTCAGGCTCATTCTCTGCCCACGACCAAACCATGGCGGCCATCGTCGCTCCGTCCAGTCCATCTGGTGCCACAAAATTCACTCCGGCGTCCACGAACACCGGTACATTGGAGGCGTTCACCTTGGCCGGCTGTGCAGGCGTATCTGCGGTCTTATTGCCCCCACCGAACGATCCCTCACCGAAGGTAGCGTAGTGCAACTCGCTCTCGAATGCGCGCACAATCTTACCGGCATTCATAGTCTCACCGAAAAACGTACCCGCTGGGCCAGTCGCGTTTCTCGGGATATCTACCCAACCAGCACACATTTCACGCGAGTAGAACATCACACTGTTCGCCTCCGATGCAGTCACCAATACAACTTGCTTGCCCTGACGGATCAGATCTTCCAACGTGAATCCGTTCCAGTCACCGCCGGAACTCTCGAAATCTGCAGGTGAGAATAGACGGTCTCCGAACGTATTCGCGTAGAGCTTCAGTAGCGCATCTGTCTGACCAAACGATGCGACCTCGTCACCGATGTCTGCGAACAGCACAACGAAGTCATTCGGATGGCTGGACAGCCAAGTGGCGATCTCAATTAGCGATTCATTATGCAGACGCTGCTCTTCGGCACGGATACCACTCAACGAAGGCAGACAGCCAACTAAATCGGAAGTCCATTCGACCGTGCTGTCTTCACCGCTTGCTTCCAGAACGGATTTCAGAGAAATCACCATGTCCTTTGATAGTGAATTGATAAGAGATACTCCAAAGTTGGAGCAGTGAGCATCATGCAGTGCCGATGCAAAGTAGTGCACGTCCAGCTCCAAAAACCGGGTACCCAAATTCAGCTGATCGGTAAGACTCAAAAACTGGTTACTGGTGCGCATGTACGAGTCGGGGTTCGAGGCGTTTAACATCGCGTTGAAGAGTTGATCACGGTTACCGTAACCACGAGCCTGGGTGATGACACTGTTGTGGGTAGCTGGTAGCTGTGTGTAGCACAGAGTCTCCTTGTATGACACCTCATTCTGGTAGACAATAGCATCGGCCACCCATGGATCGATACTGGCAGTTCCAGCCTCGCACACCTCGCTGCATACATTGTTGGTGTCGCACAACTTCACTAGCTTGCACGTGACGTTCGTTGGGGAGCGGGTCTTACCGGCAACGGCGTCCCGGCTCGGCCAAGGAGTAGTAGCATTGGAGCTGGTATTGGAAACTGAAAGGGTAAAGTTTGGACTGGTACATGTTGATTCGAACGCGCAGCTTTGAATTGTGGGGTACAGCGTAGCAAACTGCGTCGCGGCATGCTGTCTACCCGTGATCAGAGTGAATAACTCCGCTAGTGAGTTACCGGATAGGTGTATCATCACAGCATCGAGACTCTGTAGGAACATCGATAGTCCCGAGGCACAACACGATGCCGCATAGTACGGAATACTCGCGCTATTCGCCAAACCGCTGGCCAGACTCGTTCTCTCTAGCGACGAGCAGACATCTTTCTCAGCAACAGTATATAGCGGCACTCCAGCTCGGAAGATAATTGCACCAAGCAATGACGATTCTTTAGGACTGATGGCTTCAGAGAGATAGGAGCTCAAGTGAGCCGCACAAACCTCTCCGTCGGAGTTTGCAGTAGTGCACATTGTCTGATGAAGGCCATTCAAAATGTCGATAAGGATTTGTTCCAGTGTTTGACCCGCAGGTACAAGAAGCTTCAGCACTTCCAGATACCCGTTGAGTTCGTGACAGCACACCGCATCGCTCTCGAATAGCGCAATTAGTGCAGGTAATAGCGTCTCGATGCACGGTCCTGCCTTCGTGTTCATAATGTTGCAAAACCCGTTCAGCTTGGTGGTATTGGTACTCCACACAGAGAGCGTAGTTTTTAAATCCACCGAAGAGATGTTTGAACTCATCACACCGCCCAAAAGATTTTTAAACACCTCCATGAAGGCAGGTAGGTCGTTCGAGTCCCCGTCCACCAATGAAAGGAGAGTCGAAAGATCACACTTCGGCGAGCTCGCGATAGCGGGGTAGAGGTCGAAGATGTTTGCATTAACACAGGTACGGAATCCTCCAAAAGCAGGCAGGGACTTCAATGGACCGGCCAGAAAACTATTCTCCAGCATCTCGTCACAAGTAGCCGTGTCGTCCACCATAGCGGCTTGCTCAGTCAACAAACGCTGGTGGATTTCTTGAGTACTCAGCTGTCGGTGATCCCAAAGCGACGAGGCCGAGGCCACCATAGCGATTGTTGCCAGCAGCAGCATGGCGAACCACGAGCGCCCAGCGGACATTGTAAGAAGGTAGATCGGAGTCCACTTGTGCAGTAGATCGCAATCTCGAAAATGAAAGAGTCGAGTGTCATGAATCGGGTCGATGGAACGATGTCGAAGCATATGTGCGCACGGCAAGCCAAGGTCGAAAGTAAACTTGCACTTCATCAACATGACGCTTTCATCTCTAACACACGAAGCTTACTTTGGGATGGGAAGGCCCTACAGGTACAGAGCAATCATTTGGCTTTTCATTTTTCGTAGTATGATTAGTATATCCGGATACCTATACGTGTACTCATTCTTACGAAAGGTTTTCGTCAAGGCCAAACGTAAGGCTTTGGAATCCCACAATTTGTGATACTACACGGTTCGTTCGCTCGGTCGCAGTGAATTCTTTCAGTAGCTACAATCATGCCAGCGGGGGTATTTCCTCACGCCCGTCAAATGGAAAATGTTTGTGCAGGCAACGAAACCTGACTCATCCATATGTTGCTCTTCAAGTGTTGGGATCTTACACACCAGGTGGCGAGATGATTCAGTTCACGAGACATCGCTGGCAGTACCAATGGAACGGTTCCTCAACACGAGCACACACGGACACCAAAAACGCTTTGATTCGTCCGATCTCAGCATGGACAGACAGCAAATCCCATCTGTAGTGGCCGCAAATTGCGGCCCACAACCAAGCTTGCTCGTCATGTACATACTTGATTAGTATAAGTGAAGAGTGTTCGGTGGTAAATGTACGTATACATTGTAGTACGTACATTTACCACCAAACACCTCTGGAAATGCGGATTGGGATCCGTCTGACCGAAGAAGCCACATTGTGTTGACAGTGAATACTACACTCTATATTTAAAAAAAATCAAAACCACAGCAAATAATAATTTTGCAAGCATAAGATATGAAATGATCCATCGATCACTCTAATCAGTTGTCCTTCCAACAATTGACACTTTAATTAACGACGTCATGAAAACGAAATGTTTTTCAAATCTCCTCAAGTCTAATGAGAGAGACCGATTCTGGGCAGATCTCGACGATACATTTGTTCCTGTATGCTTGATTTGTAATTTGGGTCGATGGATAAATTCTGCGATCCAATCTAAGAACCATTATTTTTCTGGTCTGGCATTTCCTAAAGTAGACTATAACTGTTCAATTTTGCGGTTTTTTTTGACAAAAATTACATCAAGAATAAGCGTTTTGCAAATGCTGCAAAGCGAGTCAGACGCCAGTAGATGATAACTTGAGAAATTTAGGTGGAATTTTAGGCACAGTGAGTTTTTTGTCGTAAAATATAAATGTGAAGCGATAATAAATGGTTTTCTGGATTGATGATTGCGACTTTATAGACAACGCTGGATTAGTATTAGTCAGGGCCCGACTAATTAGAGTGATCGGTGTATAGGAGAATTCTCAATCAGCAAATTTGCGATTGCCGGGATTATAATACAAAGAAACTACCAATAAAACTTTGAGCATTGGTTAGTGGATCCAAGTACATGTCTGTACGAGTCTTAGATTATCCTTGTAAACACTGCCAGCCTGATCGTCCTCACAACTGTAAACCCTTCGTGCTAGCTTTGCTAAGCAGCTCACAAGGGCCCTCAGAATGGCTGCATTAACAGAGCAATGGCTGCTTGCGTATTAGAACGAAAGTATCCATTCCTCTTTCAAATGTTACAAATAACATTATATGTTCTAGTTATCCCAATTTTACAGACCTATTGTGTGTGTACCCCCCCCCCCCCCAAACGATTTCAAGAAGTCTTTATATAGCTAAAAATAATTATAATTAAAAGTGCATGCACTATCATTGAAAATATCAGAAAACTACTTTGAGTATCGACGAAGATGCCATCTATCGTGATGTAGATTACATCTTTACCAGTACGCAGATATTTTTATTGCAATGCATGTTTTGCAATTAGCAGTGGTCTGCTGGGCCACGAATTAGACAGTTGGAAATACTTGAGTAATTTGAATAATGCCCCAAAAAGGTATTCCAATCACTAAGTTCGAATTAAGTTCGATTTTCTCGCCCGACCACTAAGTTCGAGCTAAGTTCGCTTTTCTCAGACCGCATCATGATAATGAACGGGGCGCTCAGGTACGGCCATCATGCGCCTTCCCCGCTGCATATCTCGCTCTCATCGCATCTCGTATCCTTCTTTCAACTTTCCTCACCTTTGCCTGCGTTTTGTGTGTGTCTCTATGTGCCCCTCGCTTTCTGTCTCCGTCTACAACGTCCACAATTCCATAACCAACGTCAGCGCCTACCTCCGAGACACTGCCGGCTCCATCTCGGACCCTCTACACGGTCACAGCTTCTCCCCTGTCAAACAGAATCTCCTACCAACTGTAGACCGCAGTTTGCTCTTCTTCCGGGACTGTTTGCTGTGTCACGAGCGTCTTCTTGCCATCGGGAAGCCCAACAATGTCAGAAGAAGGAGTTTCTCTTCCAAAACGTCCAACTCGGTGGTTTGCCAGTGTCTAAGCTGTGGCAAATTTGCACATCGAGAGTGTGTGAGTTTCTCACACGCTCATCGCTACTGTAGAGGCCACGAGAGCCTCATGCCACTGTGTAGCCATGCTCCGCCCCCGATAGATGCGCTACTGTTCCCACCGCCCAAGGAGATACAGAGCAAAGACACAAAGGGACACAGGAAAGCGGAGGGTTTTACGTTAGCCACGCTGATTGAGGAGCTGAATAGTAGCAGTGTTGCTGCTGTAGGTGCCACGTCTGCAGTGATGACAAAAGGAGGGGCGACAACGAAGCAGCAGTTCCAGACAGCCTCTAAATACGCCAAGAAACTAGCGCCAGTATTGGCTGCTGGTGGCGTTGTGGGGGCCATTGCCATGGGTCCTGCAGCTGGAGTTTTGGCTGGACTTAACATGTTAGTGGCGAGTGTGGGAGCGGAGACAGTCATGGCCGGGATTGGACTCACAGCAAGTGCTGCAGCTGCAGCCACAGTCACGCATCAGAGTAAAGTGAAGGCAGCACAACGCAGGAAGGAACGGCTGCGGAAGGGCGAGTGGGCCATGGAGATCTGCTGGAACTGCAAGAAAAACTTTAACGGAGCACCATCGGACGAGGCTTGTCGGAAAGATGCAGAGTTTCTGCGTCGTTTTCAGCTGCCAGACCCACGACATCAGATGCACGGAGATGATGATACACCGACAGGTTCTGCGCACGAGACTAGGCCTGATGATGCTGAAGTGTACCGGTTTTTGTTTGGTATTTTCTCTTCGCCTAGCGAACTTTTGGGACAGATGAATGTGCAGCTGTGTGAATCTTTCCGTAAACGCTTCACAGCTAGACACCAGAAGAAGCTGAGAAGACCGAGTTTTACGGGAAGTTCTAGTGCCTCTGAGTCGACTGCAGTTCGGGCTATGGCGAAGGATACTCTTCAGGATACCAAGATGTACGTTGCTCACGTGCTGGGTGCCACGCTGCAATGCTTTCCGAGTCTGGCCAGCACTCCGGAAGCCGTGAGCAGCTGTACTCTTGCTGTGGAGCGTATCGTGTACGACGACATTCACGCTATGGTTTTTTCCGAGTTCCAGCGCACCTTCAAGGACGCAGACAGCTCCTTCGCTGATAACTTGGCGGATATCCGACGTGAACAAAAGTATCACTCCTCTGCGTTACTGCAATTGGGTGGTAATTCTGAGAACTCTGTCCTCGCCGAAGATCTCCAGAAAGCTGAGGCTAAAATGGTCGCTATGATGCACGAGACGTCATCGCCACTACTGAAGTTGGTGCTGCTTTGTGACGCTTTCCGAAGCATTTGCTGCTTCGCGGAGAAGTTGCATCAATCTGCGTCGAATGCCGACATGTTGATCCCTATTTTGTGTGCGTTTATGGTCGAATGTCCACGAGTGTGTGGCCCCGGATCGGATTTTGTGGCCGAGATCGCGTTCATCTCGTTTTTCACGAACGGAGGCGGCAAAGGCGTCGAAGGTTACGTGTTGACCACGTTCCAGGCGTCCATCCAGGTCATTGCTGCTGTGGACCTGCCGAGTGGACATGCGAAAGAGCTGGAACTTTTCATAAATGACGACGAGAGCGAAGCCACAGAAGAAGATGACGACGAATTCTTCGATGCCGTATCCACCAGTTCAGAGTCTCAGTTACAGTCATAGAGTTGTAAATAAGAGTGTTTTTAAATGGTAGAAGTGGTACGTCGCTCAACGCGACGACTACCATTGAGACTGGATGCTAGAGGAATTATAAACCGATGTCGATGCAATAACGGGCTCTCTTAGCGTCATGCCCTAATTAAACCGTAATAAGGGTATCTGTGGAACGATCCGAAATGTTGACGTGTGGCGAGGCTGAACTTCGAACGCCGATACAGTCTGCGAGTCCTCGTGGCGGGTGGTTAAACAGCGGTTAAGGCCTTGATACATCGGATTGCACCATAACTGAATCGACCAGGAGCTCTGCGTTTAGCTGTCCCTTCCTCTCAGTGAATTCATTCGTGCCGCATGCCAAACCAGAACGTGCTTTGGCATTTCCGGCCTCTAGCGGCGATCCTGGTTAATGGAAAGCATTTGAGACCACCCTTAATGCCAACTCCATCGTTGCTCAAGCGTAGTGCCTACGATACTTTTCAATTTACCCGCACGGTGCTCCACCGCTTACTACGTACCAGCACTACGTACACACATTACTACCGACAATGATCACCGGTCTTTGGTCCCAAGAAGAACACACCAAGTTTCTCGTCGCCATTAAAGTCTACCCTCACGGTCCGTGGCGCAAGATCGCGGCGTACATTGGCACGCGCTCTATTCGCCAAGTACAGACGCACGCCCAAAAGTACCACGAGAAGGTGGTGCGCCGTATGCGCGGCCTGCGCAAAGGACGTCGGTCCTCCGGTCGTAAAGAGCACCGTATTGACGATGACTTGCTCGCTGCATGCAAAGTCGGCGAGGGCTTCGGTATCGTTCGACCCAACCGCATTGAAGCCATTTCTTCGTCGCCACAGCAGCAACCAACGACTCCTACTTTTGAGTTGATGGTCCCGCTCTTGCTGGATTCGATGCCTGGTTCGACGAGTCCTGGTGGTGTAGACTCCAACGGCGTTGCTGACACCGTTATCGATACGGATTTGGTAGCCTCGTACCAACTCCCGACGATAGACGAGTCACTCGACTTCCTGATTGAGCGCTTGTCCAAAGCGGGGAACGAGACTGCCAAGATCGAACTCTGAAGAAGACGACAACAATTCGCTTAGATCGAATGCTCTGCTGCATGTGAAAACGTCTGTACATGTAACACGCATTAATTGCTGTAATGATCACGTGTTAGTGAGCATACTGATAGGAGTATTATTCCGTTAACATTGAGTCACCGTTGGAGGATTCTTTTTTCTAACGAAAAAGCGTTTTACAGCGGCCTGTCGTCGTTGTGGTATATGTATTTATACATCCGCAATCGTTCACGAACTCGTTCTCCAAGAATTTACTGTTAGTTCGCTGGTGTTCGAGCTGATCGCTATAGCACACTGTGAATGCCTGGTGCTCCGAAAATTTGCAAGGTTCGCTCATTTACATGTACCGTACCACCAAAGCGTTCGTAATAGCGCTTACAGTGCACATTGAGCACTGCCGGTGCCAAACGGACTAACATGTAAATCACATCTGATACTTGTGTCACACAAATCAGCGACAACGTGCTGAGCATTGCTGACCGCTTTGACTAGAAAAACTAGATACCTCAGTAGTACAACTAGTAGTGCAACAGCACTAGTCTTCTAGTATTTCCCAAATCCCTTACCACCAAAAGAATGCATGTGTAAGAGAGAGAGAGAGAGATAGAGAGAGATAGAGAGAGAGAGAGAGAGAGAGAGAGAGAGAACAAGAGAGATTGCAACCATTTACTAGCTCGCACACGTTACATGAAACGTTTCGTCCTCACTTTAGTTATTTAGTCGCGACGGCATGAGTCAGCGGAAACTCCTTTTGAGCTTCACACATTGTTGGTATAACTTCTACATGATTGATAAATGTACAGGTATCCGATTCTGGCGTACCTGTGCCATACCATACAAGCACTGTTAAAGTGGGTATCCCCACATAGTAATTTGAGTTTAATATGCATCGAAGACTGAGCCGTGTTTTTGTGTTACAGATTCCGCCCTCTAATCCGTCCCTCCAGTCCAGCCATAACCTCTATCGGATTTATATTATGCAGTTTTGGAGGTCGTTTGAATTTCAATCAGGCGGGAAACGCACTTTTGAATCCCTGCGCGGCTAACAAACATGGGGCGCTGGCTGACCATCAAAGATAAGCGTGCTCTCATAGCGAAAGTGGGTGAGAATCCTGGAATGACGCACGCCGAACTTGCTGAGTGGTCGACCAAAACGTACAATCTTGGTCGACCATTAGCTAGAAGTACTGTGAGCGACATCCTTCGGAAGGCGCCGCAAACCATGAGCCCCGCACACGAGGACACCAGTAGGCGAAAGCTAGTCAAGGTGACGTCAATACGACTTGAGAAGGCGCTGTGGGCGTGGATTGCCCTGCAGGAAACGCGCAATATTGTACTCTCAAGAGAGCTAATTGCGATGAAGGCAAGAGAACTACAAGGGCAGCTTTGCGACGCGTGGGATCTCTCTTTCTCTGAAGGGTGGATGACTCGCTTTATGAAGCGCCACGGACTGAAACACCATCAAGAACTGTTTTCAGCACACAGGTATTCTTTTCCCAGGTGTGAGCGAGGCAGCAGTGACGAGAAAGAAGAGCAGCGAAAGCTGCGACGTAGATATCCATGAGGTCGTTGCTAATACATCAGCTATGCGCATTTGAATGCAAATCAAAAGAAAAACCTTATACACTTCATATCCTGGCAAAGGGAAGAGAGTAACCTCGGACGGATTGGAGGGCGGTACCTGTAGTTTATTCCTGTGCAACACTTGTGCCGTCAACTTGCACGAGTCGTGACTCTTGTCGCCTGCGCCGTCGTGTCAGCTTTTAGCAGTGTCCGACAAGAAAATCCATGTTGGAGATCTCATCAACGTATATTAAAATATACGTTACCGTTGGAGACGTTGCAAATGAGAGCCATCAATCCAGGGGCACGAAGCAGCATGTCTCCATCATCTGACCACCTCGCACATGCTTACAGCAAAAGGTGGTTGATCAGCCCAGCAGCGCACCATTCCCAGCACGAACTCAACCGAGAAAAAAAATCCACCGATAGGGAGCAGGGCGACAGACGCTTACCGCACCCGTTGCAGTGCCGCATAGAGTTGCGTTGCTCATTTTTGAAGCTATGTCCAAGCCTGTTGGTTGAGGCAATACGCCTGACCTCGGTTGCTCTCATACAGTGGTGTCAATGAAGAGGGCGGAAAAGCTCAAGTGCTGACAGACAGCGATGTAGACGTGGGTTGCTAAGGGGATACATGAATATAAGGAACGAATGATGTTCGTGGCACCTGCTCAAAATTTGACGAGGTGTTACCACATCCAAAACGGTAACAAATGCTTAATCGTAGGTTTTACAAGCGATAGAACGGTCTTACGACGTGTATTCCGATAATTAAAAAATGCTTTATCGAAGGCCATGCCTCACAGTAGTGTTGAAGTGACAGAAGCAAGGCAATCTTCAGTACGCATCGAGTACGCATCGCGTCAAGGAGTGCCGCTCTCAGCGGCAATGCCGCTAACCGAAGTCCGGCGCAACAAGTCCTGGATTTTCTTGCCGGGCGAGAATGCCCAAACTTCGCCGCTGGCTGTACCTGTTACTGTTGCAACATTTTGCCTGTCACTCCCTCAATCACCTGCGCGTTTAGCTTCACTCAAGACTTGTTTTCGATATTTTGCTGTTTGCCGACGAGGGAAAGTTGCCGTGTGATTTGGTGTCAAGGTCACTTCAAGACCACGTTTCGTGTGATAGAGGGGCCAGCAGACATCACATTGAATAAGGGCATGCGTCACCCTCATTCTACAATTCGTAGAGCAGGCCGCAAGCCTCCGCCGCTTTACCACTCCGGTACCCGTCACACTACCATTCCGCACTAAAGTTTAGGAATATTTACCATTATCCACCATGAAGCACGGTATTTGGTCCGAGGACGAGCACGACCGCTTCCTGCTCGCCATCAAGGAATATCCACGCGGTCCGTGGGGCAGCATCGCCTCGGCCGTCGGCACACGCTCCGTCCGCCAAGTGCAGACCCACACCCAGAAATACTACGAGAAGATCATGCGAAGAGTGCGAGGGCTGCGCAAGGACCGCAAAACGTGGGCACGAGTCGAGCACCGCATCGACGACGATGTGCTCACGTTCTGCGAGTTTATGAAGAGTATGGGCAGCAACAAAGTCATGGTGAGCGACCCGGACGCTCTCAAGATCAACACCAAAGTGATCGTCTCTCCACCTTCCAGTACCAACTCCAGTCCCTGCACCAGCCCCGTGCAGTTCCACCTCAGTATTCAAGACGAACCAGAGCAAGAGCTCGATGCAACCGAACAACCGCTGACCACCATTGCCTCCAGTACCATCGACTTACCCCCGCTAGAAGAGGCGCTCGATTTCCTCATTACCATGATGGAACAATGAGCCAAAACTCACGGACAACACCAACACACTAGCCTAAACCAGTATGAACCCATTTGTTCCCTAAATTTTCCGGTTGTTATCATAATACCGATCTGGCATTTATTTTCCCCCAACAATTTGGCAATAGTTGCAGCTACTGATCTAGAGGCACAACATTCTCCTCATCGACTACCAGAGTGTAGCTGTAGAACTGCAAATATTGCGAAAAGAAGGCGCCCTCAAGTGTAATAAGCACCTTGAACGTGTGATCGTTCCACGTGAAGGTAAACTCACTGCCAGAGTCCCACAACATGTCCGATACGCTGCGGTTCTGCAGTAGCGGCTCCCCGTCCAGTAGAATAGAGCGGAAGCCACCTCGAAGACCATGTTGCAACTCGACAGAATGTCGTTCATCCGATCCCTCCAGCTCAAAGATCCACCACACCTGTTTCCACGGGAACGTGAACAGCAGCGCACTAGCCGGATGTTTGATCTCTTCCAACGTGCAGTTCCACACTGTATTGCCGTCGTCCAGACTGAGCGTTCCTTTCCTTGAGAGCGGCACGCCTTCCCGACCCTGAGAGCTCGACGCCAAGATATTGCGCGACTCAAACACCGACATCTGTAGGATCGTCTCCTCCGCTAAAATCGACCTGCAATTCTCATCTGGAACCTTGAACCACGTGCGGTTCGGATGGCCAATACTGACCCAACTAGGCGGCATAGCGTAGAGGTTATAGAGCTCCTCTGATATCCGCACCAGTGTTCGTGGTTGGCCTTCTTCCGTCTCACTTAGATTCATACCGAACATGTTGCGACTGGATGAACGACTCGAAAAGCTGCCGGTTCGTGCTCGCGGGGGGTCTAGTGCAACCCACCCTTTCTCCTTTGTGAGTCGCACGTATGTCTCTTGTGTACGTGGTAGAGTGTACTCCATTTCAGCCGAGAAGATCGTGTTGGCGAACAAGTAACGCACGACTTCACTCGTTCTCTCGGGGGACAGCAGTACCTCTTTCTTCTCGCTGATTACGCGGAAGAAGAACTTGCCATTCTTCTTCTCCGGGTCTTCATCCACAGCCTCCAGTACTTGATCTCCACTAGGAGTTTGATCGAATAGCCACCCGTTGCACGCACTATTTGCTGTCAGATGCGAGGTACTAGCCACCTTGATATACGTGATACGGCTGCCTGGCGGGGTGTACTGCAGACTGCTCTCAAACACGGTACCAGCTGTCATTGGAGCCACACCAGGCAGTCTTGGGCATTCAAAGTCCGGGGCGGAGCGTAGATAAACCGGTACTAACACACGATAAAACTTGGGTAAATCGCGTGTGACGGCATATCCCTGAACCTGTTCCAGTAGCAATTTATAAGGAGATTGCAACTGCCGCTCACATATCCACCCCACGTCGTGTCGTAGCTTGACAAAGCCTATGTCCGGGAGGTCAGGTTCACCAGCGTCAGCGAGAGCGGGTGGTACAGCAGGAACAAGCCGTTCACTGCACTCAATTAGCGTCCCTTTCAGACGTTTGCGTCTGCCTGGAGGACTGGAAGGAGTCGACGCACTAGAAACTGGGATCCTCTTCCCGCCTGGAGTTGGGAGCACCTCCACGTCGTCCAAAACGCGATAAAACAGTCGCTCTACCCGTCGCACCTTGGGTTCTGCCATGGGTTCCAGCACCACCTGTCCGTCCATTGTCGTCTCAAAGATCCAGCCGCCATGACAAGATGACGGGGCAGCTAACGTTGCAAAAGGTTTGTCTTTGGTAGGAGACTCACTGCCAATCTCACGCTCCATGGACTTGGGACTCGCTGCACTGCCCGCGTGGCTTCTTGAGCATCCACAACGAGAGTTTTTGTCCTTGCACACACGCACGTACGTGATTTTACTGCCTGGCGGAGTGAATCGCTGCGAGGCCTCGACAATCGAGTGCAGCTTGAAGCCTTTGCCCGACCGTTGTGCCATAATATGAGGCGCCACTCGAATACCCACTGGGATCTTCACCACGAAGAAGAAATGGCCATACTGAATGTCTGGCTCTGTTGCCAGTCGTTCCAGCACTTTAATCCCTGAATTCAGCGTCTCAAAGAGCCATCCGTCCTCATACGCGAGCTTCACGAACGTCACGCCACTCTGCGGACAGCGATATGTTTCATGACACTCGATAATCTCCTCTGCGTTCTTGAAAACATGTCGAGAGATCACGGGAGCCAGAAGATCTGGACCTTTACGCAGCTCAATCGGCACCATTACGCGATAATAGAATCTGCCCTTGCTCACGATGGCCTTCTCGCTCTCAGGTAGTGGCTCCAGGAAGTGCGTTTCCGTTGCAACGCCCGTCTCCACTGTCTTGCTGGTTTCTTTAGTTGACAGCATCATAAAGGCGTTCTCCACGTGCGCCAACCGAATAAACCACGTAGGAGCGTTCGATGCACCCACTAAGCATTGCAAGCGTCCACTACTGGCCACCACTTCTTCCGGCATCTTCATCACACTGTAAGCTGGCGAGAAATAACACAAGAGCGGTCAGAAACAGCTCCAAATGACACTCTAAACGCTATCGAACGGACCGTTGCGGTCTTGCTGCATCATCTGCTGTCTGTTCCTGGCTGAAGACGTGCGTCCGCTGCCCAGTTTGGTCAGTTCCTGGATCCTCACGACCTTGTAGTCGCTCTCGGCCAGCGACGGCGCGCGACGTCGCATGTCGTCGAGTTCCAAGGTCTTTTCTCCGTTCTCAGCTGCGCTTTCGCTAGTCGAGGACGCATTCAGTCCGCCAAAGTCGATTGAGTACAATTTGGACTCGTGCAAGACGCGGTAGAAGCGCGACTCCTGAAGAACAGCGTTGCGCAGCGTTCGCGCGGCCGACACGGCGCGATTGCGCGTCACAGGAGGCGGTATACCGGCACTGGGCGCTTCTAGAGCTGCCAGAGCCGCCGCCACTTCCTCCTCGTCGCTTGTTTGCGGGATCAGACGCCCGTAGAACGCGGTGGACGCCGGCGCGACGGCTCGTACGCGCGACTCCATTGCGCTTTCGGGGGGCTAATTGAAAACTGGAAGAAGTCGTCTGTTTCATGTGGTGCACGCCACTTTTGACGTCAACGTAGTCAGACAAGAATATCAAAATTACTTACGTAGCCAAGCACATAGAAAAAAAAGTGCATCTAGGAAGTCATGAATGTTTGAGAAAATTACAGATCAGTACGTTCGCCGGCGACGTTAGCAGCCGGTGCACTGTCAGCAGGCAGGTCTTCGTCGCGGTGGGCCGAGATCTCCATGTCTTGCATGACGTTGGAAAGTGTGGCCTCCTCCTGCTCGTGTTGCTTCTGTTGTTTCTGCTTAATACGCTCCAAAAGGTCCGGGAGGTACTCGTTCTCGTACTGCTTGGCAGCTTCATCGATAGCGGCGAAGAACTCCGGCATCCCTTCGCCTGTAGCGGCTGACACGCCGACGGACGTGAGGTTGTTGTAGAACTCCTCAAGCACGAGACTCAAGGAGCGCGACAGACTGCCCATGTAGCTGTCGTCCTGCACCTCGTCCAGCGCCGTCTGAAAAGCCTCGAAGTCCGTCATCCACTCGGTGGCGAAGTCGTGACGCATCACGTCGATCTTGTTGAACACCACCACGAACGGCAGCTTCAACTTGTACAGGATGCTGCACGCGTACAGCATGTTGGACATGAACGTGTTGGGACTGGCCGTGCGCGGTGTATCCACCACATACACGATTACGGACGGGAACGTGGACGCCAGCGACTCAGTGATTATCTGGCCTGACGCAGACCACGTGAACGCCTCAATCTGCCCCGGTGTGTCCACAATGGCGTAGCTGGCAGCATTAACAACTCAAGTCAATACTCTCCTTAACAACAAATAGTAGTTTTCTACTGAACGTACTCGAGATCGCTGCTACGCTTCCCGAGCAGGTCGATGACCTGGTCGAAGCGTGTCGCGAAGAGGTTGAGCGACGTCATGATGGCGCCGTTGGGACCTAGCCCGTACTCGGTCATAACCTGCTTGTAGTCCACTGTGTCACGGATGTCCACGTTGGCTGTATAGCCCGTCTTTCGCACCGCTGGATCCAGGTTGATAATGTAGTTGCGCAGTCCCGAGTCCACGCCATACGCCGCAAGTCGCTGCATGAGCGTCGTCTTGCCACTACCGGCCATGCCGATCACCAGAACAGTCACTGGCTTCGGGTAGATCTTGGGCAGACTCGAGTCTGCGGCTGCGGCGGCGTACGCATTGGCAGGGGCCGGAGGCGGCACGGCGTCGGACGGCGCTGCTGGGGTTGCCATTGATCTCGCTGGTTGAAAAATGCTGAAAATGGGACTATAAAACGGGCTCATATTGATTAGCAATCAATTATGGGCAATTAAATGGACAAGTTGAAGTGGAATTACTCATTTTAGCAGTTTGGTACGCCGACTGCAGCGCTGCAGTCGAGGTTGGTGTCTCTAGTAGCTCGGCAAGGATGCCGATCCATATTATTTTACACTAGAGCGTATACTTCTGGTACCTGCGCAGGATCTTCTGTAGTTGGTAATGCAACTCGCCGGCGCTGGGGCGCGCCCTCGGGTTCAGGTCCACGCAGGCGTGGCCAAGATTCACCAGCGCCGCAGGTGCGTTGGACGAGAACTCGATGCGGACGCGACCCATGGCCACCATCTCCATCAGCGCCGTCTCCGTCACCTTCTCGCCCGACTCAGACGTAATAGAAGTGATCGCACTCGCGTACGGAGGCTGGTGCGAGTCCAGCTCCGACAAGACGACGCCGAATGAGAAGATGTCGGCGCTGGTGTCGTAATGCTTGCCCATCATGACCTCAGGGGCCATCCAGCGTCTCGTACCCACTCCAGCGGTCATAGTTTCCACCGTCCACTTGCGCGAGACGCCGAAGTCCGTGAGCTTGGCGTCCCAGTCGTCCGAAAGCAGAATGTTCATCGACTTGAGGTCACGATGCAGTATAATAGGGTCCAGAGAGTGTAGATACGTCAACGCCTGTGCTACATGCAGCGCGATCTTGGCCTTATCCTCGTCGAATCCCTGAGGCCGGTGGTCTACCCGATCAAAGCGCCGTAAAAGCGAGAACAGGTCGCCGCCGGGCATGAATTCGGAGACAGCGCAGAGATCCGTGAGCGCGTCCCACGCCACACCGACGAAGCGCACGATGCGCGGGTGCTCTACGCTCGCCATCATCTTGATCTCCGATAGAAAGATGTTGATCTGACGCATATCCTTCCTCTTGTCTGGCAGCAAGACCTTGATTGCCACGCACTCGCCGCGGTACAGACCGTGATAGACAGCGCCGTGGCCTCCTTCGTTGACTAGTTCCTTACGAATCAGCTTCTCCATCGGGATACGAGCAGCCAAGATGGCTTCATCCTCCCACAAAGTAGATCCAGTCTTAGTGGTCTTCTTTGTAGATGGAATCGAGGCTGCACTGCTATCGAGACGCAGTGTGGAGTCCAGGTTCCTTGTGCTGTCTAGGTCTACTGTCCTGTCAAAGTTGTTGAGATCGTGAATCGCAATCGCGGGCGATGGCGTGTAGCTCTCCAAAACAACAGGCTCAGCAGCAGGGAGAGTGATCGGCGCCATAGCGTACGAGGCATCGAACGAGGGCGATCGTGGAGTCATTTTCTGTTTCCTACGGCGATACAACCAGAAAGCAAGCCCCGCGATTAACAGGACGAATACAACTGCACCGGCGACGATGCCGACGACGGCTCCTGTGCTGATACCTAGAACGAAAACAGCCATAAGCTACCTGGTACTTGAGGAGTATTGAATGTCGTGGTCTCACCTGTCTCGCTGCTTTCTACAGTAGTGAGTCCTGACGATGCATCGCTGTCACCGGAATGGGAATTCACGTTAATGATCACCGTTGTCGACGCGTTTGCGTTCGCCGTAGCCGACGCTGGAGCTGAAGTTTCGGGAACACCGCCAGACCTTGAACTCGAAGCTGGAGCAGATGTGGACTGCGCTTCTGAAACTGCGTTAGTGGTTGATGTGTCTGATGAAGGGGCCGATGTACTAGTTGTGGACGCCGATGAAATAGTTGCGGTTGTTGCGGTAGTCGCTATCGGCGTTGCTGTGGTCGCGACGGGCGCAGGCGTGGCGGGTGTTGGAGTCCTCGTCGTTGGGGTGGGTGTCCTCGTCGTTGGAGTTGGTGTCCTTGTCGTTGGGGTGGGTGTTCTAATTGTCGGTGTTGGCGTCGCCGGAGACGTGCCGGTCAGAGTATCAGCCGTGTCGGTGATGATGTTCGCTGCCGTTCCGAGGAGCGACATGGTTCTAACACTAGAAAGATCGCTAGAGCGCTATGGGAGCTAGCAGGGTCTGATTGAGTTCGGTTGAGTGGCAAGAAGACTCCTTGTGAGACGCCCTACTCGTTCCGAACTGGCCTAGGAGGGGGAGTCCCAGCGCTTCCCGACGCTACGGGACAGAAGCGACATTGGAAAGTGCGGCCGGCCCGTGTCAACTCGCTTCAAATTGTCGAGGTCTATGTACAACCTGATCATTCGACAACATCCTGGCCCAGTATGGAGAGCCACGACCTTCAGCGGTCGTAAGGGCACATCGGCACTTTCGGTGGCTTTGAATGCACTTGATAAAATTTCGATGGCGGTGGCAACAACATCACTGCCACGTTGGCAAGTCTGTGGGACAGACTTACAGTATTACAGGCCGTGAAAGGCCTCACGAACTTTGTCTTAAGCTTAGAACTTTAACTAGTGCTGGCGTTGGATTCACAGCGTGTACATTTCGTATGAGTGCATGATAAGCTGCAACCGGTAGTGCACCTCACTGGCACTCGGCCGAGCCATTGGGTTCAAGCTCACGCAGGCGCGTCCGAGCTCAACTAGTTCTGCTGGGGCATTGGATGAGAAATTGACGCTCACCCGCCCCATGACAACGAGCTGCAGCAACGCTGCATCGGGTACCCGTTGGCCGCTGTTTGTCGTCCGAGCTTCGGCGTACGGGTAGAGATGGGAGTCCATTTCAGAGAGAGCTACACCAAACGAGAAGATGTCGGCGCTAGCATCGTACCGATCGCCTAGCATAACTTCAGGCGCCATCCAGAGCGAGGTACCTACTGCCGCTGTCATGCTGGTGAAGCTGTATTTACGAGCGACTCCGAAGTCCGACACCTTGGCATCCAATTCAGACGTAAGCAAGATGTTCCTTGATTTGAGGTCACGATGCAACACCGTCGGGTCTAGAGAGTGCAGGTACGTCAACGCTTGAGCCGTTTGAAGGGCGATTCGAGCCTTGTCAAGGTCGAAACCCCGTGGACGCTGCTCCTGTTGGAAGCGGTCGAGTACAGAGCGTAGGTCTCCTCCTTCCATGAATTCCATTACGGCCGACAGATCCGAAAGCGAGTCCCAAGCCACGCCCAGGAAGCGCACGATACAGGGATGGTCGACGGTCGCCATCATCTTGATTTCAACCAAGAAGGCGTTGATCTGTTCCAAGTCTTTCTGTTTGTCAGGGAGCAGCACTTTGATCGCGACGATATCTTCGCGATAGACACCACGGTAGACTTCTCCGTAACCACCGGAGCTCAGTAGCTTCGTCGTGGTGAGCTTCTCCAGCGGGATGCGCGTCGCAGTGATCACCTCGTCTTCCCATAAACCCGGTCGCTCCGTTTCATCCGACGCCGATCGCGCAGTGTGGAATGGACCGAATGATACTGACGTCGAGGACGTCTCGAACCGCTCGGTGCCGCGTGTATTGAAGACAGGAATGTCCCCCGTCGCTCCCAGTCTTACATGGTTAATTGAGTTCATCAATTGCTTTCGCCTCCGGCGCAAGCACCAGCTCACCAAAAGCACTAAGAGTAGGAATGCTCCTAGTGCACCCAATACAAGACCGACAATGCTTCCAGTGTTGAGACCTCTGGCGACGTTTGTCACGCCTGCTTCTCCATCTCCGTGGCTGCTAGACCCGGTTTGGTTAGCAATAGAAACACTAGCGTAGTTCTGACTTCCGCGTAACTCTGGCAAACTAGAGTCGCTGTCATTCATGGCCGACCTACTCGTGCTGCTCGAGTAGCTCACTATACTTGAAGTTGTAGTGATCGACGACGATGGTGTCGTTCCTGCTATCGTTGGCAATGATGTCGCTTCGGCCGGGTTTGAGCTGGTTGAGGCCGAAGATGCTGGATTGGATACACTTGAACTGATGCCCGGATCTGTCGTTGAATCCGCCGTCGTTACCCTTGGAGTCGAAGTGGTCAATGCCGGTGTAGCAGTCGTCGATAGAGGAGAAGAGGTGGTTGTAGATGGAGTAGGAGCGGTTGTCTTTGGCGCGGAAGTCGTCGAAGCTGGAGCAGTCGAAGATGATGTGGAGGTATCCGAATAACTGGAGGATGTTTCTGTCGAGGTGGTTCCTGTCAGCGCATTGGTAGTGGACTCAACCGTGCCAGTCACCGTGCTCACAACGGAGCCGATGAGCGATTCCTTCATCTCTAAGTGACTTGCAAGGTGCTTGGCACGAGTCAAAGTGCGACTACCAAGCAAGACGCCTTGGATCCAATCGATAGTAGACGAGTGGACATTCGCGAGTCATTCGCGCCGTACTCTTCCGGTCGGATGACCCTGGTCATCATCAACGCGACGGGCAAACCAATCTCCGACACGAAAGTTTAGCACCGTACCACGTAATGGCCTCAGTAGCATTCTGAAGAGACGAGGACGATGTGCGACCTTAACGCAATATGCAAGTGGCTTGCGTACTCTGGTCAAGATCTTGTTGGGTCTCAAGTTCGGCGATCACGTGACGAGTCCTAACGTTGTGTCAACGAGAACTTCGAGGAAAAAAAAATCCTGTTTGATTGAAAGTATCCTCTGTATTGCTGTCGGAAGACTCTTGTTATGCTATGGAAAGCATTGCTCAGACTCGTCTGTCAGATCGTGTAGGCCTCGTACATCCGTAGAATGATCTGCAAGCGGTAGAGCACCTCGCTTGCCCTTGGCCGTGCTGTCGGATCCAAATCCACGCACGCGTAACTAAATCCACAAGTTCCAACGGCGCGTTTGGCGAGAACTCGATACGAAGTTGACCCGAAGAGACCATCTCGAGAATGGCTGTGTTCGAGATCTTCTGGCCGTCCGAGGACCACATCTCTCGGTACGGTGGAAAGTGTGAGTCGAGTTCGGACAGAACGATGCCGAACGAGAAGATGTCGGCACTTGCGCCGTAGTGTTCGCCCATCATGACTTCGGGTGCCATCCACAGCGCAGTGCCCACGCCTGCTGTCATCGTGTCGACACTGCATTGTCTCGATACTTCAAAATCCGTGATCTTCGCCTTCAACTTGGATGTCAGTAGAATGTTCATGGACTTAAGATCACGGTGAAGTATAATCGGTTCCAGAGAGTGAAGATATGCCAATGCATGGGCCACGTGAAGTGCAATGCGCGCTTTGCTAAAGTCGAATCCGTGCGGTCGCTTTTGGGTCTCATAATGCTTGAGCAATGAGTGCAAGTCACCGCCGTCCATGAATTCCGAGACGGCGCAGAGATCCGTAAGCGAATCCCAAGCCACGCCAATGAGTCGAACAATGCGAGGGTGCTCGACACTCGCCATCATCTTGATCTCAGCGAGGAAGGCGTTCACTTCATTGAGTTTCTTCCTCTTCTCTGGAAGGAGCCGCTTGATCACCACTTGTTCGTCACGATACGTGCCTAGGTACACCTTGCCATGTCCTCCGTAGTTGATAAGCTTCATCATCGTAATCTTCTCGAACGGGATGCGCATTGCAGTGATGTCCTCGTCTTCCCACATTTGTATCGGAGCAGAGACATTAGATAACTCACTGCTGTCCAGATTTCTGGTGTGAAAAGGAGAGAGGCCTGCAACTGGGGTTGTTGATCGGTTCGTAGCCGTCACGTAGATTGTTGGCGGTGACTTGCGGAACCAATGCTTGTGTCTACCGCGCCAAAAAGCCAGCAACCCGAGAAGGAGTACGAAGCATGAGAGCATGACACCAACGATGGCCCCCGTGTTCAAAACTGTGGACATAAAGTGGTTAAGCATGTCTTAAGGTGAGGAGCCGTGTGCTTGAGCGTACCTTGACTTTCATCTTCTTGATGGCCAATGACACCACTGGATGCACCGCTACTGCTGAGGTAGCTGGAACTAGCCTCCCCTCTGTTGATCGTTCTGGTGATATCAATGTGTGAGGACTGGTCCGAACGGGATATCGTCAAATGCGGACGAACTGCTGGGAGCACTTGAACTGTCCGAAACATCAGGAGTTGGCATCTCGGCTGATGTAGCAGTCGGTGTAGCTGTCGTAGCTCTCGGAGCAGTTGTGGTTATCGATGTAGGCGTTGTTATCGAATTGGTAGATGAAGACGTTGACGATTTGCTTCCACTCGAGCTCGTAGCCGTAGCAGGTGACGACGTTGAAGAGCTTGTGATTGTTTCCGCTGTTACTACAGCAGCATCAGCAATGGTGTTCACTGCGGTGCCATTGAGAGATTCTTGCGTGAGAGTACCAATGCAGAAGTGTTTCTAGTATGACCAGCAGCTAAAACTCGAAGCTGCTAACGACCGCATAATTAGGAAGCGGCTCTTACTGATCGCAGTAGGAGGCAATCCCTCACCTTCATCGCCTATCGAGGCCTGTGGCTACGAAGCTTGGTCAAGATTTATAGACCCCGGCCCTATATTCTTGAGTTAATGGGCATATTGGCCAACCTCTGAAGTTGCTAAGCGAACGACACCAACGAACTTTAAACACATCCACACTGAAAACAACGGCACAGGACGATATCTACTGTCTCCACTCTGCCAGGACTTTTATCTTATAGCGTGGCATCCTCGTACATGTTCATAATGAGCTGCAGTTGGTACAACACTTCGCCGGCACTGGGTCTTGCCTCTGCATCAAGATCTACACACGAGTGTGCTAAATCAATCAGGGCTTGCGGTGCATGTGCAGAAAACTCGATCCGAAGCAGACCGAGCGATACCAACTGCAGTAAAGCCGTGTCCGGGATCACTCGACCCGAGTCAGTCTCCTTGGCCGCTGCATACGGCAACACATGTGAATCCAGCTCAGACAGAACGACACCAAACGAGAAAATGTCTGCACTGGAGCCGTATCGCTCCCCCATCATCACCTCAGGCGCCATCCATAGAGAAGTTCCAACGCCTGCAGTCATAGTCCGGTCGCTGCTTTCTCGAGAGACGCCAAAGTCCGTGATCTTGGCCTCCAGATCCTCCGTTAACAATATGTTCTTGGACTTGAGATCACGATGAAGCACCAGCGGGTCCAGTGAGTGGAGATACGTTAACGAGTGCGCGATGTGTAAGGCGATACGCGCCTTCTCGAAGTCGAAGCCGTGCGGACGACACTCGTGATACTCGAAGTAGTTGAGCAGCGTTCGTAGATCTCCACCTTCCATGTATTCTGCAACGGAGCAGAGGTCCGCAAGAGAGTCCCAAGCTACACCGAGTAACCGGACGACACGCGGATGTTCCAATGCTGCCATGATCTTGATCTCCGACAAGAAGCCATTGATTTGAGCCAGTGTTTTCCTCTGTTCGGGCAACAGGGTCTTGATAGCCACAGCTTCCCCGCGATACGAGCCTCGATAGACCATTCCGTAGCCTCCTTTATTAAGCAGTTTCCCTCTCGTGAGCTTCTCCATTGGAATACGCATTGCAGTAATGATATCGTCTTCCCACATGCCACCTTGTGCTGCTGTAAGGAACGATGTGGAATATCCGCCATTCTCTTGATGTTGGCCACCCGTGTACGGACCAGTTGAAGAAGTATCGAGGCGAGTATTAACAGTGTCGTCTGCACCCAAGGGCTTGGAATCACTGATAATAAAGTGACGTTGAAGTGATGCATTGTCTTCTTCTCTCCTTTTCCTACGTTGGAAGACAACGAATCCGATGCAGAGCAATACCATCGACACAGCGGCTAGAGTGATAGCGACAAACATCCACGTATCAACTGCGTGCAAGGAACTGGTTAATGAGTGCGTGGAATGGCCGTATCTATTGCAGGTTGTGTACCTGATGAGTTCGTATATGCATCTGCGTCTTGGCTGGAGGCCAATCCTCCTTCATTCTGCGAATCCCCGCTGCTCCAGTGTCCAAAACTACCGTCGACACTACTCGAGCTGGAATTCGATGTGACGTCATTGTCCACTGATGCTGAGAATGAGGCAGAGATTGTGTCAATAGTTGGTACAGGAGTCTCTGGAGTTTCCGTTTCTATCGATGCACTGGTAGAGCTACTAGGTTCAGGTGTGGATTCCGGGGTGCTCGTAGGTGTCGGCGCCGATGAAGGAGAAGTCGTAGCAGTCGTAGGCTGTGGAGTTTTGGTTGTGGGTGTCTTAGTCGTAGGGGCCGGAGTTCTCGTTGTTGGTGTCGGCGTTCTTGTAGTTGGAGTCGGCGTTCTTGTAGTTGGAGTCGGTGCTTGAGTCGGCGCTTGAGTCGGTGCTCTGGTTGTTGGCGCGGACGTAGCTGTAGGGGACGGATTGGTTGTCGCGGTAGTATCATCACCGCCAAGTACTGTGTTCACAATAGACCCGATAAGCCCCTGGAGGTGTCGCGACTGAACTACCTCCCACTACAGACATAACACCGTTAGTTCATAGCGCTTTGTGACCGTATTCTTATTGTTCGCGCACCATTTTCAGCCGAGTGAGTTCGCGATAGAATGGCAATCACTCCCAGCGAGCGCCACTGCCGTGCAAATGGCGGACTGGTCTCCACGAAAACCTGAACCGACTAGTGCAAAGGCACAGCTTGACATGGTGATCTTATCCCCTAGTTCCTCCTCTGTACTGATCGCCTCATAATCATTTTGATAACCATTTTTTACCATCTTGAGATGTTGGACGTCTTGATATCATTAGCGCTTTCGGTGACAAGGAGAAGAGAGATTTTTCATATGACTCGACGGCTGGAGACTGACGCAATAAAGGATGTGCCAGGCCAGGTGCTCCTGAAGATAACCAGATCCGTCCGACATCAACAAACACGGAGGATAGTATTTCATTACTTTTTAAACCTTCCTTTACGATGTTATTTTCCTTCCAAGAGCTGTACGATCTGTTGTGCGGTGAGGCGGTTTTCGGGATCTTGTTGACAGCATGCTTCACCGAGCTGTCGGATGAATTCCGGACACTCAGCGCTGAAGCTTGGTCGCAGACGTCCTTCCTTCACTAGCGCTACAATCTTGGATATTTCCACAGCATCGCCGCTCTTCAATCGAGCGTCGAAGTATGGCATCTCGCACGTATCCAATTCGGTGAGCAGCACTCCGAACGAATAGATGTCGGCTGCAGGCGAGTATGGAGCACCATTGAGCACTTCAGGTGCGATCCACAAGTCCTGTCGAGAGTTCTCAATTGTTGCAGCAAACGGACTCGTCTCAGTTGACCCGCAACTCGCCAACTTCGCCTCCAGCTTGTCCGTGAGCAGCACATTCTTAGCGCAGATATCGTGGTGCATATAATCCTGTGCATGTAGATAAGCGAGAGCACGAGCAATTCCTCCAGTAATGACTGTTTTCTGGGTTGTCCAAGCGCGAAAGCTTGACTGATTTCGGTCTAGATACGTTCGCAGTGACCCCTGCGGTAAGAACTCAACGACCATGCCCAGATCGTGGACTGAAGTCCAGCCAGCACCTATCAGATGCACCAGGTTTGGGTGCCTAACGTGAGCCCGTTGCTGGATCTCGAACGCCATTTCTTCCACTGCAGCAACGTTGACGTTCGGACTAGGAGCGAGGCGTTTAAGCAGAACTTGCTGTCCGTTGTATCGACCGATGAATGAATCGGCCTGGAGTGTCGTCATGGGAAGTTGCTGCTCGATCAGTACTTGATCGAGTGGGAGGCGTCTTCGATCGACATTCGAGTCTAATGCCAGTACTCTTAGCGCATTGACTGGTCCTAAACCTCGTATCCTCTCAAGTGGAGCAACCAACTCCTTTGCTTCCCAAGTCCGTAGAGCTTCTTCGTAAGCCGGTGGAGCGCCTTTAGACCCGAACGTGCGCGTGCTCTCATTGTATACCATAGATGATACAGCAGGCGCAGGAGCTGACAGTCGGTCAGTCTCCTGGGTCTTGGAAGAGCGAGTTGCAACACTCTGTCCCGCGAAGCGGAAGTTCCCTTCGTTAGACCGAACGGCGGAGCCTGGTTGGTAGCTGGTACCGCTGTAGTTAGTGCCGCCGTTCGACCAGGAATATTCCGACAAAGGAACGGTTGATCCGGAACGTGGCAAGGAATCATCAACTGTAGGGCGAGTGTGGGTAGAGACTGTAGTGCGTTGGTCGTCCCAGTGTGTTGGGTCTGGCGATACCAACTCCGCATGACCAAATGCCTTTGGTGATCCTCGATCTTCAGATTCGGACTCTTTTCTTCTTCGTCTGGCTACAACGAACAGTGCTACTAGCACAATGATGAGCAGAAGACAGAGTGCACCTCCAATTGATCCACCCAGCAAAACAACGCTGGTGCCAGTACTGTCGTCTTCTGAGGATGCTGAGGAATCTGAAACCTTCGCGTTTGGGTTAGTACTCGAGCCTGTTGATGACCCCCCGTCGGTGTTAGCAGCGAATGACTGAGCCCACGATGTGACCCAATCCGAAGGCGCTGGCACCGTTAGCTCGTTGGCTGGAACATCATCGGTTCCATAGCACGGGATGTTCAGGTATCCGTAGGTCTCCGTGGTGGGGCAGCCACCGTAGCTCCGTTCTGAAGTGACATCCAACGTGTGCACCGCGTACACCTTGTAGTCCTCACCGTCCTTCCAGGTGTGTTTTACAAGCTCAATCTCCGGGATCATAGTGGACTCTCCACCAACAGACCACATAGCCAGACCTCGGTTGCTCTGTTCGTGCTCCTCCACGACGCACTTGACCCCCCTGAATATTTCTGTCCCAGTGCAGAGGTTGTTGTTAAAGCCTGCGGTGCCATCCGGTTGCGTGCACTTGAAGGCCGTGCAGTTGGTAGCTTCATATTCATCCAAAGTCAGCGCGATCTCCGCCATGGACAACCCATTGAGCGTCCAGATCTGCTTCACGTCACCGTCGAGAGTCATTGCAAACCCGCTGTCCCAGAGAACCGCACGCTGAGCGAAGCCATCCAAGTCCTCGAACGCCACGTTCACTTCATTTAGTCTCGAAGTGACGGTATCTGGTATTGAAGAAAAGACCAGTGGAGCGATCTCGTCTCCATCTTGTGAGCGCAGGTAGAGCTGCAAAGCGAGGTCCGAGGTGCTCCCATCGAACTTGAAGGTGCCAGTCGGCGCCCATGCGTCCACCGACGCGATGAGTTCTCGGCGCAACGCCATTCAGAAGTGAACTGCGAAAACCGACGCAAGTTATCGACTAGCGTTGGAGCCACCAACTCAGAGAGAATCCCTACATTTTTCTTCCAGTGGCACAAGACGATAGTAACGCCGTTGAGGACTTGTATTTGATTCTAGAATGGCGACACAACGGACATGCTGAACTTGTGAACCCAACGCCCAGTGAACTTTTTCAGATATGCAGACTCTATAGCGGACGTGGCAACCATGAACCCATACATGTTTCGTAGTCATTTATGATACATCACGCACGTTCAGGATCTGAATCGGTTAAGAGGTTGATTGACGGTATTACCTCACAACCACGATAGATTCCATCGTGGAAATATCTTTTGTTTGAGCGTTTTTTTCTGGTTCTAAACTTTACTTTTTATAAAGTTTTGGTTCAGCAATGTCCACAAGTCGCATCAGCTAGTGGTGCCAGCATAAAAAGAAGGCATTGACTGCCACTATCACTACAGGGATCGGTGGGCGTTTATCTTCCCTGCTAACACTAACGAAAATATATTTAAGAGTTTTTTTTCTTATGGTTTACTACTATTTTGATAACCACGTAATAATACAATTTTGGGGTTTTGGACTATATTTGGACTTATTTTCCTTGGAGATACTACACGGCGAATTGTAAAGTTTGGGGACAAAATTAGAAGCAGTTTATTGAACGTCATCGGTGACCACAATGTGGCACGCCGATGTTTCGGCGTGATCCCCCGCCGGGTGTGTCAGTGACTCCTGTGAGGCAGAACAGCAAATGCGGCTGGCTTTGTCGGACCCTCGAAAGTTCTGCGCTGGCAGAGATGTGACGATAAAGTCGCAGTTTAGCCACCCCATCGGATAAGATCAGCCAGGTGGTGAACTTGGTGGCTCTAAAGCAGCTGAGTTTGCTCCATCGGATTCGAACAGCCAGGAGACGTGTGATGTTCAAAATGTATACTCCAAAAGCAAAAACCGCTCTTCCGCATATGCACAAAAGCCAGCACTCTTCTTTGTGTGTTTTTTTTTTTTTTTGTTTTTTTTGCTGTTCTTGTATTTTGCGGCACTACTGTTCTTTTTTTTAAAACATTATCCGGTATCCGACACTACCAGATTTGGGTATTCTCACAACAGAACAAAGTTTTTAAGGTGCTATTTGTTTTGCTCACAAATTACGCTTCAAGCAGGCGAAGCAGTTGTGCTGCAGTTGGTCTTCGATCAGGATCGTGTTGGTAACATCCAACGCCGATCACGCGAATGCGTCGAGGACATTCCGGACTGAAGCTCGGCCGCAATGTCCCCTGCATTACTTCGTTCAAGATCTGAATCGGTTTAAGTTTCGTGCCTATTGGCGATACAGCGTCATGGAAAGGAGAGTTCACCGTATCGAGCTCCGTTAGCAACACACCAAATGCGTAGATGTCCGACTTGGTGGTGTATGGTCTGCCACGTAAAACTTCCGGTGCTGACCAGTACGGCGCACCAGCAATGTGACAACGATGACTGTGCTCGTTGAGGCACGATGAATCGAAGCCCGTTAGTTTTGACCTCATCGTCTCGGTGAGCAGCACGTTGCTCGCTCGTAGATCGCGATGAGCGATTGGTGTCGGCTGACTATGGAGATACACCAAAGCCCGAGCAATACCGATGGCTAGTCGGTACTTACCGTGCTCCCATGACGTGCGCTCGCCGTGATTTTGCAAGTACGTGAGCAGATCTCCCAACGGATAGTGCTCCATCACCAGCATCACGTCGTCTACGCTATTCCACGCCACACCCACCAACGTCACGATATTCGGATGCTCGAGCGTCGACCGGATCTGGATCTGGTAAATAAACTCCTGGATGTGAAAGATATGCGAACGCTTGGTCTTGAGCAACCGCTTGACGACAACTTGTTGATTCTGATACTCGCCCAATCGAATTTCACGGGTTTGGCTTTTGGATAACAATGCTCGAAGTTTTATTTCCTTGTAAGGGAGTCTGATCCTGGTCAGATTTCGATCTTCCTGCAGAATTCTCCAGATGTAGTTCGGTCCTGAATCCGAGCCCAATTCGTACGCTTCTCGAGGTGGAACTTGACGAGTGGAGAAAGTCTCTTCTCCTCCTGTTTGTATGGTTCTGGAACTCACGACGTCACTCATTTCGCTTGACTGACTAAGGTGAGGGAAGATTGTCACCGTGTGATCCCGGTAGCTGTCGCCGTCTTCGGCCTTGCGTCCGAGCTTCCTCCACTGTCGATGCATCCAGCAGCAGCAAACCCCTCCAAGTAGAAGCAACACGGCGACCCCAATGATCGGTACTAGAAGCCCCATGTTGTAGCTTCTATTGTCATTTGATGAAGATCCGCTGGAAGAGATTGAGCTGCTATCGCTACTTGACATCGTGGTGGAAAAAACGAAAGTGACCGCAGCTTCAACTCGAGAGCAACAGGAGATACAGGCGATGGACTCCACACAATCAGATCGGAACACGGGATCACCCACCAAAACTAGTTTTCGTCCCACAAGTTTTTTTTGTACTCTTTTTTGCTGGAAAGCGAGCCACTTACAGCCACAAAATTGTGGTAACGGACTGCAACAGTATCTTGGTGGTACTTCAATAGCTTTACATTTTTTTTTTTATTATTTAGTTGAAGAAATTGAAGGTTTTCCTACACCAATTAGCAAATCGGAGCCAGTAACCTGCTCCACGACCGTGACTCTCATCTTCCACCGCCCACATGCGACCTCCAACGAAAATGTAGGTCGTATTATCCGGTGGTGTGTGGAAGCGACTCAATCGATGGCAGTGACGGCATGCAACAATTGTTGCGACGATCAAAAGGAGAACGATCAACAAGATGAGCAGGAGCCACCACAAGCTGAAGCCACTGTCACTTCCTTTTCCGGACTCTGTGGTCGCCGATGCGGAGCCTTGGGAGGGCGCAGACGATTCCGATGTAGCCGAAGGCTTTTCATGCTCCAAGATCCAGCGTGTCACCCAATCGGTCCCCTTTGGAGTAGTAATCCGAGTTGCGACTGACTCTGGAACGCTATCGTTCCCGTAGCATGGGATCACTAACGAGCCAGACCATTCACCCACTGGACACTCATCCGTAATCGTTGTTTGTTCTGCTGCGGTCGCTGTGTGGATCGAGTAGACTGTGTACACGCAGTCGCACTCGGCTGTTCCTTCATTCTTGACAGCGCGGACATCCGGAATCATACTTGAGTTGCCATTGGTTGACCACATCGTGGCATTCGAACTCTCGTCACTTTCAAACGTTTCAATGACGCACTTCGAAGCTGCTAACATCTGAACTGGACCATGGCTGCAAGTTGAGTACATCTCAATGCTTTCTCCGTTTGATGCTGTGCATGATACAGCTTCACACCCTGAAGCCTCGAACTCATCAACAGACATCGCGATATCCGCCATACTTCGGTTGTCTAGTGTCCAAAGTTGCACGGCTTGTTGGTCGGAGGTGACGGCGAATCCAGTGTCCCACAAGACAGCACGTTGCATCAATCCAGGAAGATCTTCAAACGTTAAGGACACGTTCTCCAGTCTCGCTTGGACAGATGACGGAATTTCATTCAGCAACATTTGGTCGACTTCGTCGCCTGCTTGGAATCGATCGTAGAGCTGCCGTGCAATGTCCGACGCTGCGCTGGACGTGGACGATCCAGAACCCACTGATGTCGATACCAGCGTCGGCTTCAACGAGCAATCACACGCACTGGAGCTTCCGTCGCTACCAGGCGAAGAAGACGGTGACGACGAACTCGAACTTGATCCCGATTCTGATAACAATGTTGCGGATGAGGCTGGAGTGGCTGCAGGTGTCGGATTAGCCTGTGGCTGATCTTCAGATCCGTCTCCACAAGAGTTTGGATGGCTCCAACCATAACAGAATTGCACTAGCACCAACAAGCTAACTAAGGTGAATAACTTCCGCGTCCTCTTCATGTTGAAAAATAGCAAATGATTAAGCGACTTAGCACCATCAACCCGTATCACCAAGATTATCGGAGACCTACACTTTAATGTGGCTGCCACGATTGATCTTTATCAGCCGCCAACAACCAATCAGAATACAGTGTTTCAATCACTTCAACTTAGTCAAAAAGTGCTGTAACCACGATTTGTGGCTCAGATTAAGTAAATCTTTTTTTTTTGGGAACGTGTGAATATGACACTTTGAACATCCTCCTTAGAAACACCACAAAGGCTACTGTTCGCCATTTCCCTGAAGCTCCAGCACCAGTTCATGCGCCGTCGGACGATCCTCCGGACTGAGAGCTAAGCAGGCCATACCAATCTTCTTAATCCGAGGTGGGCAGTCCTCGGAGAAGGTAGGGCGCAGCTTGCCGGCCATGACGTCCTGCAGGATCTGGAAAGGTTTCGGCTTGCCTCCATGTTCCGTCGTTGCGTCCGAGTACGGGATCTTGCTCGTATCCAGTTCCGTCAGCACCACCCCGAACGAGTAGATATCCGCCTGTTCCGTGTATCGTTTGCCCTCCAGGATTTCCGGTGCCGTCCAGTACGGCGTACCGACTCCAGCTGTCATAGTGAGGTCGACAGTATCACGACTCACGCCAAAGTCGATCAGTTTAGGTTCCAATTTATCAGTCAACAAGATATTGTTCGACTTGAGGTCGCGATGGATAAGTGGCGGCGTACGATCATGCAGATACTCGAGAGCCTGGGCGACTCCGACAGCCATGTGGATTTTATCTCTCGCCCACGATAGCAGGTCTGCATTCTTCTGTAGGTAGTTCTGTAAGTTGCCCATAGGGAAGAACTCGAGGACCATAGTCAAATTATTCAGACTATTCCAGGCCACACCGATGAACTCGACGATATGCGGGTGGACGAGGCTGGCGCTCAGTTCGATCTCAGCAGCAAACGCTTGCACCTTTTCAGCGTTCTGTTCCTTGGTTTGTAGCAATCTCTTGGCCGCCACTTTCTGTCCGTTGTACTGGCAGATCCAGACTTCACCCGATGCTCCCTTGGACACAGCTCTCTCAAACACTAGACTGTCGTACGGAATACGTTTGCCTTGCAAATGTTCGCTGTCTAGTAGAATCTTCAGCGTCTTGTTGGATCCTGCACTCTCATAGTGACTAGAGAGAGTGGAGCCCTGCGTAGTCATGCCAGTGGGGCCAAGAATCATCTCGGGAGTGCCGACAGCTAAATATTGATCCGTCTCCAGCTCGTGGGCTGCAGAAGTCGATTTTTGTGCATTGTTCTTGGCTTTACGCTTCCAGCAGAACCAGCCAAGGCCGATGCCACCTAGCACCACCAACGCTCCAAGGATTATTGGGACTAATAGGATGTAGTCGAACCCCGAGGATTCCTCAGCGAACTCTTGTGCCAACCACGTGGTCACCCACGCACTTCCGGTCGGGATTGTGGTGTTTGCAGCCATGAACTCGGCTGTGAACTGATCGCGTCGAGCGCATGGAATACTCACTGTACCGTACCCCGAGGGACATTCACCCCAGGCCGGTTCTTGGGAACTAGACACTGTGTGCACCACATAGACGGAGAAGGTGGTGCTCTTGTTAAACACCGGCTCCGTCCACGTGTGGTCTCTCAGCTCGATCAACGGAGCGACGTCCGGGTCCCCTCCATTCGCCCACATGTTACCTAAGTACGTCCCAGCGCCCGAGTCCTCGAAGACATCGATCACACAGTGCGAAGTGTTGAGCATCTGCCATCCCGTGCACGTGTGACTGTAGTAAGCCGTCACTTCGTTTGGTTGCGAACAATTCGTGAAGGTGCAGTCCACTCCGGAGACTTCCCACTTTGGTATGGCGATATTGTCCATAGTGCGATTGTGCATGGGATAGATCTGCACCGCAGTGTTGCCTGGTGCAATGGCAAAGCCTGTGTCCCATAGGACAGCACGCTGGACAAGTCCCGGGAGACCGGTGAAGTCGACTTTGATGGCGTCGAGACGTTCAGTTACCGCGGTAGGAACCGACGTGAGCTCCACTTGATCGCTAGTGTCACCGGCCTTGTAGCGGATGTATAGCTGCTGTGCAATATCCGAGTCGGAGCCGTTGAAGACATACGAAGAGGACGACAAAGCACTGGACGAGGAAGTCGCTTCCAGACTTCGAAACGTCACGGTTTGGCCCTGGACGAAGAGCGCAACGGCTCCAAGCAGCAATGGGAATGCGGACGTCAAGCGCATGTCTGAAAAGTAAATCTTGGAATGGCGAATTTCGACTACCGCGAGCACTGGAAAGTCGATGGACGAGCGCACGAGTTGACGTTGCGGTGCACACGTTACGGGACGGTGAAGAGATATCACAACTTGTACCCATCGAATTCAGCGGCTTCTTAAACAATGATTGTTCGGCCTGTACAGCGCTGCTGTTGCTGACGTTGGAAAAGCAAACGCCAGTGCGCTGTCCAAGTGTGGCACTCACGGACTTATCACTCTCTAGCTGTGGGGCCTTCTGTTCGAATACTCCCACAGTCCCGCATTTCAATAGGTTCAGAGTAGAAGAAGGTCACCATGATGACCGTTTTTCAAGAAAAAGCTCTATGGCGATGGAACAGCTCGTTGAATTTTGTCCTTGGGTAAAGTGGTCAAGCAAGTTGCACGCGCCTAATTCACAAGTCAATCTCAATACAGCTCCATCTCCGGAAACCCAACTCGTTACGAGTTGATCCCGTCGAGCTCCAACACTCACACCTCATTATTCTTAGTAGCGCTGGACGACAGGAAACGGTTTGTCCGGCACCAATGGGCTCAAATGATACAACGGTCGCCAGTTTACTGGACAGTGGAGCCTGGCAATGGCTGGTGTGGAGCTGGCGACTCGCTCGTCGTGAAACTTGCATGAAAGAGAAAAACCTTCCACGACGGCCGCTTCGCCAACATCTCTATCCACCTCATTCTCGCTTTCTCCAGCTTGCGAAGAGCTCCATCCACTCAACTCGACACCTTCGACGAGGCTCCACCATGAGTCGAAGGCGCACTCGACGCCTGTCGAGCTCAGACGACAACGTTCCACTGCCCTTTGATGCCACGTACTTCGCCTTCGACGGAACCAACTCCGATCTGGCAAGACAGCTGTACTTCCGAGCCAAAGACGGTGGCTCAGTGGCAAAGTACACCAATTTAGCACTGCCCAAGGCAATTCAGACACGCCTTGACGACAACTATCTCACGTGGGATGATCTATCAGGCATCGCCCAACGTGCGTTACTGTGGGACTCGGGCTTTGGCGTCACGTTAGATAACAAGGTTGTCCAGATATGGACACTTGGTGGGCACTCCATGACCGATTTGGCTGTACCACTGGATCAGTTCAACGCTGTGGGCTGTAAGGAGATGAACTGCACTCAGCCTGGCACTGTCATCAAGAGTTATAGCAACTTTCACTGCAGTGGAGAGCAGATGCTCAAAGCTGCTCGCTGCGTCGTACAGGACTTTGAGGAAAGCGAATCGCTTCATCTCGCCATGTGGATGACTGGAGGAAACCCCAAGGTGATCCCGACACCGCAAATACGGAAGCATTCCTGGAAGGATGACTACAGCAACGTTTCATACGTCGTCGTTGCTGTACACACAGTGCTTGGCAACGATGAAGCAGCTTATGGCGAGTGCCCTAAAACCGGAAACGGTGGATATGGGTCGCTGGTGCTACCTTGCTACACAACTGTTAACATTACAGAAGAGGTGAGAGATGCGATGGTAACAGTAGAGGGGTCTCCCTGGGTTACAAAATGGTTACGTCAAGAGTATTCAGACGAGCCGAAGATAACAAGCGAGGCCTCCTCCGACAAGAACGGCGGGTTTAAGTTGGTGTTCATCGCTCCTATCATCGCTGGCGTCCTCGTCGTTGTCGGTCTTGTAGCTCTGTTTGTGTTTGTGAAACGCAAACGACAACGGAACGTCGAAGCGGACGCTCTCGAAGTCTCGTTGATCTACTTGGAGACTTGCCGTCCGAACAGTTTCAAGGAGGAACATTCGCCTGAAAGTGACTACGTCCGAGACGCATCCACAGCCCCAACGCTCGATGACACGTTGACTGTATCGCACAAAGGCGTCGACAAAACCATCAAGTTTAAGTCGAGCACCAGCTCTGCCAGCGACTTCGATTCCGGGTCGAATAGTACGCTGCAAATCCTGCTTAAAAGCGAGTTCCTGAGAGGTAAACGTCTCCCTTACGACAGTCTGAGTTTCACGAAACCTCTGTCGAAAGGAGCATGCGGGGAAGTGTGGCTGGGTGAGTATGAAGGCCAGCAAGTCGCCATTAAGCGGTTGCTGCAAGTTAAAGCCCATCGTGCGGATGAAGTGGAGGAATTCGCTCGTGAAATCGAGCTGAGTGCCTGTCTGGTGCACCCCAACATTGTGTCATTCATTGGTGTGGCCTGGAATAGTCTCAACAACTTGGTGATGGCGCTCGAGTTCTTCCCGATGGGAGATTTGCAGGCGTATCTGGCCAAGAACGGCGACTTGATGTCTTGGCCTCGGGATAAAATCCACATTGCGGTTGATGTTGGATGTGCACTCAAGTATCTGCACTCTCGGTCTCCTCCGCTGATTCATCGCGATCTCAAGTCGAAGAATATTCTTCTGACAAGTCGGCTAGAAGCCAAACTCATCGACTTCGGGGTGAGTCGGGATCGCCAGGAGTACTCCATGACTGCTGGGGTGGGTACTCCGTACTGGACAGCGCCCGAAGTTCTGGAAGGAAAGAGGTACACGGAGCAGGCGGATATTTACTCGTTTGGAGTGGTGTTAACGGAGCTAGATACCGGCAAGGTCCCGTACCATGACGCCTTGACAGCTGAAGGGAACAAGCCGAAGCCATTCCAGATTTTGACGGATGTCATGGCGGGCATGTTGCGTCCTAGCTTTTCGAAGGATTGTCCGTCCAGAATCCGCCGAATTGGCGTGGCATGCTGCCAGCAGGACCCGTCTCGACGGCCTACTGCAGTGCAAGTTGCCCACATGCTGCAAGAAGCGGACTAATGTTGCAGTACTTGTACTTCGAAGTAGTTTTTATTTTTTCTTAACTCCTTAATAATAATTGATATTCCATGGCAAATATTATTCGAAGTATATGCCTTATCCAAACAACAATTACTAATCTTCTCTGTTACAGTCTTCCATAAGAAGTTCCTGCACCAACTCTCGTGCTGTTGGTCGCCTTAATGGATCAAGCGCTAGACATGCCAGACCAACTCGTTTGATACGCAGTGGACAATCTTTCAAAAAACTGGGTCGCAGTCTTCCAGCCATCACATCTTGCAGAACGTAAAACGGCTTTGGCATTCCCCCGTTCTCCGTCACTGCATCAGAGTACGGAGCTTTGCCCGTATCCAGTTCAGACAACATCACACCGAACGAGTAGATATCCGCCCGCTCGGTGTATCGTTTCCCTTCCAGTACTTCCGGTGCCGTCCAGTAAGGTGTTCCAATCTCACCCGTCATGGTGAGGTCGATCTTGTCTCGACTAACGCCGAAGTCGATCAGCTTCGGTTCCAATTTGTTCGTCAGTAGAATGTTGCTAGATTTTAAGTCACGATGGATTAGAGACGGCTTGCGGCTGTGTAAATACTCCAGAGCTTGCACTATCTCAATAGTTATGCGAAGTTTGTCTTTTGACCACGATAACAGCTCGGAGTTCACTCTTAGATAACGCTGTAGACTTCCCATGGGCAGATACTCCATTACCATCACTAAATTGTTCAATGTATTCCACGCCACACCAATGAACTCGACAACATTTGGGTGAACAAGACTGGCGCTTAGTTCGATCTCTTCAGCGAATGCCTGTACATGCTGTGCCTTCTGATGCTTCGTTTGGAGAAGTCTCTTAACTGCCACTTGTTGTCCATCGTAGTCGCATACCCACACTTCTCCAGAGGCTCCTTTAGAGATGGCTTTCTCGAATATAATACTCTCAAACGCCAGATGTTTTCCTTGTAAATGCTCACTATTGAGAAGAATCTGCAGCGTTGTGTTGGAGCCGGCACTCTCGTATTGCATCGATAGACTGGACAGTTGAGAGCTGAGTTGGCTAGTCACCATCATGGGACGAAGAACCATGTCCGGCGTGCCTCCACCCCAATAATGCGAGGTCGAGTTAAAGTCATAATCGGCTGTAGCTGACGTTGATCTCTCGTCCTTCTTCCTCATAGCTCTGCGTTTCCAACAGAACCAGCCAAAACCAAGTACAATGACAACACTAAGAATGATCGGGATCAAGACAATTTCGTCAAAACCCGAACTTTGTGCGAACTCTTTTTCCAGCCACGTGGTTACCCACTCGCTACCAGTGGGTAGCATCGTGTTTGCAGCCATGTATTCGTCCGTGAACTGATCTCTTCGATGGCAAGGAATAGTCAACGATGCGTACCCAGCCGGACACACATCCCAAGCGGGATCGTTCACAATAGAGACTGTGTGTACCGCGTAGACCGAGAAGGTGATATTTCCACCAAACTCCTCAATATCCTGAGTCCATGTGTGATCTCTCAGTCGCAGCTCCGGGGTCATATCAGGGTCACCACCCACCGACCACATCATACCCAGGAAACTACCAGCGCCTGAGTCTTCGAAGAGATCCACGACACAGCGAGATGCGTTGAGGATTTGATACCCTGTGCAGTATTTGGTATAATACGCCTCGACGTCGTTCGGCTGCGAGCAGTTGAGGAACGTGCAGTCCACATTAGCGACGTCGCTCTTTGGGATGGCGATGGCGGCCATACTGTAGCCTTTCATAGGCCACATTTGCACTGCATCGTTTTTTGGAGAGACCGCAAAGCCTGAATCCCAGAGAACTGCGCGCTGGACGAGTCCCGGTAGGTCGTTGAAATGGACGTTGAACGGATGCAGACGCTTTGTTACAGCCGCTGGGATTGAATTGAGCTCGAGTTGTTCACTTGAGTCTCCAGCCTTATAGCGGATGTAGAGCTGTCGAGCGATGTCCGAGTTGGTGCCATCGAAGACAAACGACGAGTTTGAAGTTGAAGAGGCCGAAGATTCATCCTGCAGACTCCGGAACGTGATCGTATGGGCTTGTGCGCAGCTGTAGATCACTACAAAGAGTACGGACTCTGCCTGCGCATGGACATGCATGGGTGTCGCCGCCAAGCGGCAAAATTCCGAATGGACACCAGTGATAGGCCAGCTAGTGGTCGCCGAGAGATATCATATCTACATTCGGGCGCTGTTGCACTTCAGTGCCTCAGGTCGGCCAAAGATGTAACCCAACTGTCTGGGTTGAACAGGTTCTCATTTGACAGGTATTCCTGGTAGTCATACTTTAATATTTCTTAATTGAAAGCCGCCGTTGCCATCGTCTCACCTTCATTTGAGAAGTACAAGAACCCGATGACCGGCCTACGCCAAGTGCGCTGTCGATACCAAGAATGCTGGATACGGCTAGCGTTGGCGTGCCACTCAAAAGCGACGTGAGATGGAAGGCTCCTCGGGTCCCATGGACACTCTAATCAATTTTTCATAGCGCTAGGGTATCCCCCCCTAGTATGGACGGCAGGTATACCTTCGCAAATTATGCCGACCTTGTATCCTTCAATGGATACCTCAACCGATGCGAAGTATAGATTGCTGTCTAGAGCCCAAGTTTTTGATCGACATTGGTGTGGCTCGAGGACGAGAGAAATTCTTCATGGCACATCGTACTCGACGGCTCTGAAATTTATGATCTTAGGGATGGTTTGCCAAAGTTTCGCGATAATAATTGAAATTCATTTTGATATTCGAAATAATTATTTTCTGAAATATACTGTATATGTATATATATTACAATAAGCATGGTGAGAACGACGAATGAGGCACTGATAAGAGAACTCGTTGTAGTGGACATGCGATGCTGCGCGCGAGACTCCACCGTTTGGTGAAAAAAAAACTTTGAAGTCCACTTGATGCCATCGACGTTGTGATACATTTCCGTACAGATCTGTCGCTGAACTTCTATGCTATAGAGGCTTCTCTAACAGCCTCTATAAAATAAGCACAGGTATTCTTAGCAAACGTACTCTTGCTTATCGTCAATACGGTGGCTCCATATCTCCAGGCAGATTAGTTTGACCTATTAGCTCTTGACGTAAAGTCAAGCAGCAGTAGTTTCACAAGTGAGGATGCAAAAGTAGAAGAAACGGACAATATAACGCCCTAGGTGCACACGTTGCTACAAACGGATTTTGGTTAACTAAGGGCCACCCCCTTGCCACGTGAGTGATCCTGAATTGTTCATTCCAGCTTTGGCTTTCTTCTGGTTAAGGCCTTCATTACTCTGTCGGGAAGACTCCAATGGATCTACGCCGACTAGCGTCTTCAAGTTCCGACGCAAACGTCGAGTCACCTTCAGACAGCTCTGACTTTGTCTTCGATGGAACCAATTCTGATCTTGCGAAACAGCTCTACAATCGCGCCAGGGCAGGAGACGATGTGGAAAAATTTCCCAAGTTCGAGATACCACAAACTCTCCAGACCCGCCTCGATCAGCTTCAACTGGACTGGTACAAACTACCAGGCATCGCACAACGAGCGCTACTGTGGGATTCTGGCTTCGGCATCTCCTCGTACAATAGACCGGTGAAAATTTGGACGCTGAATGACCACTCAATGGCCGATCTTGCAGTTCCAAAATCTCGATACGAAGCGGTTAACTGCACCGTGAAAGAGTGCACTCAACGGGATGGCAGCATATCGTACGCCAACTATAAGTGCCTTGGACGCGACATGCTCAAAGCTGCGAGGTGCGTTGTGGAAGATTTTGAGGATGAAACCGACATTCACGCGGCGATGTGGGTCACTGGCGGCGACCCTGAGGTCGTCCCAACTCTGCGAGTGAACAAACATGAGTGGAAAGACATGCACGACAACAATAGTTACATCGTGTTTGCGGTTCATACAATCGACCAGAACGGCGAGCCAGCGTGGGATCAATGTGCCAAGGCAAATCAAAACAATGGGTATGGGTCACTAGTACTACCGTGCCACACGACTGCAAATATTACAGCTGAAATCAACAGCTCGAAGCAAGAAGTTACGGGGAGTGCGTGGGTGTCTCAGTGGCTTGTTGAAGAGTATTCGTCTGTTGCCGGTACGACTGATGATGGAGAAATTAATTTGTCGCTACTTGCGCCGATTGTTGCTGGAGTTCTTGTTGTCATCGGTGTAATTGGACTCTTCGTCTTCTTGAAAAAGAGACGGCAATCCAGAGAGGATCCAATTGGTTTTACTGAATCACCCGTATGTCCAGATAACTACTATCAAAGCTGCAGAGATCTCGATTTTGGTGCTAGGTCCACAGTTCATACCGTTGTGGATTCGGAAACTGCAACATACAAAGGCGTTGACAGAACCATCAAACTCAAGCCCTCCTACACTGGAGAGTTCGGCTCGGGGTCCAATCGCACACTAAACATTCTTCACAACAGCGAGTTTCTAGTCGGAAAGCGTTTATCGTACGACAGTATCATCTTCAAGCAAGCTCTATCTAAAGGAGCAAACGGAGAAGTGTGGCTCTGTGAGTGCCAAAACGAGCAAGTCGCTGTCAAACGTCTCTTTCAAAACCAGAATCACCATGCAGGCGAAGTGGAGGAGTTCGCACAAGAGATTGAGCTCAGCGCCAGCTTGAAACATCCCAACATCGTGTCGTTTATTGGAATGGCTTGGAATTCGCTCAATAATTTGGTTATGGTGCTCGAGTATTTCCCGATGGGGGATCTGCAGTCGTGTCTACAGAAGAATGGCGACTTGATGTCCTGGTCCAGGGACAAAATCCACATCGCTGTGGGGACAGCCAGTGCGTTGCAGTATCTGCACTCAAGGACACCGCCGCTCATCCATCGGGATCTGAAGTCGAAGAATATCCTTCTAACGCGAGCACTAGAGGCAAAACTGATCGACTTCGGTGTCAGTCGAGCTCGACAGGAGTATTCCATGACCGCCGGAGTTGGTACGCCATACTGGACTGCACCAGAAATCTTGGAAGGCAAACGATACACAGAGCAGGCGGATCTATACTCTTTTGGAGTGGTGCTGTCTGAACTGGATACCTGCAAACTACCCTTCCACGACGCATTTACGTCGGATGGGAAGAAACTTAAGCCAGTCCAGATCTTGGCAGACGTGATGGCAGGGATGTTGCGTCCGAGCTTTTCCAATGAATGTCCGCAGCGTATCCGTCGTATAGGTGTAGCATGTTGCCAACAGGATCCATCGAGACGGCCAAGTGCTGCTCAGGTCGTAAGCATGCTGACAGAGACAGATTAATGGAGTTGAAGAAGATAAACCATCACTAAATTGTTCAATGTATTCCACGCCA